TGGTGACTGCGAAATGTATGAGTTGACCCAACCACGTGAAATTGCAGATCTAGGCCCATCCATAGACAGCCCCCAAAGAAAACCTGTCACTCTAAAGACCGACACAGAAGCCTCATTGTCGCCTGACAGAAGCCTAAAATCCACAACCCACACCAGCCTAGGATCTATGATATTCCGAGTTTAATTTCACGAAGCGGTTTGTTGTACATCAAGATGCTCACCAGCAAGAAGTTATCAATCTGACCTATGGCTTCATTCAGCTGGGATGACGCCTCGGATGCCCATATCATATTCTCGTGTGGTGTGTTGTTCTACCTGTAGTTCTTCAGCTCATGTATTTCTACCCTTGGCTCCTCCATGGAGGAGTTCCCGGAGGGGGTGCCAGTGTCACGCTTGATGACTGAAGTCTCGTTAACTTTACGGAAGGCTTGGTGCTTCCATGAGACTTTGTATCTGCTGCAGAATTCGGTGCTGCAGTCTTGTCAGGTTTTAGTCCTAGCCGGTTGTTTCCACCATCACTGACGCTGAATGGCCAAGCTAACCTAAGTCAATATGGGCCGCAAAAACAGAATAATGTTTTATCCATAACATCCCTATCAGCTGCAGCTTTGGCCAAACAACTAATGATGATGTTGAAGTTTCTTACCTTGAACCCCTAATCTCAACGTCCTCGGGGCAACAGAAAAGATACGACTAGCCATGCACACAAATCCCAGACACCAAATACCCAAGTGGCGTCAACAGGTGCGAGTGAACAACGGGTCCAGTGAATCCTCCCGGAGGTGTCACCAACCCTGCACACCCACCACGTGTAGAAGCAAAACTAACTACCCTCTGTCAACCAGATACAGATGCCAGAGACTGTGCTTGCACTGAGTCAAACTGTTTGTATTTGGATGCGGTGTGCGCACCGAATACCTTGAATAATGGCATTACTCCGCTCTTTCCTAATAAAGGCAATGCCATTTTAAATCACTCTGCTGCCGACTCACCACTAGGATATCCTAGTGGCTCAACAACTACAAGTGGGTGGAGCGTAGATACGCTTTTGACGCAACGACATCAGGCCACGGTCAGTCAAGCGGTACTGAGACACCTTTTGGTCCGTTCAGCAAATTCGAAGGCTTTACACATTATTGCTCCTCTTACTTATACACAGTACTCATGACTTCAAGGTCTGTCCTCAGCAGGCTATTGGCATTGAGAGTAATCGGACTCACATTTAGGCCGCCAGCAAAAAAATTATCACCGGATCTTGGTGCCACACAAATGCACCAGGTGAAGAGATAAGTGCTGGTATGTTCACACACTTCCGGTGTGGTCGGAGCAGCAAGAAAGGAACAGGTTGTCTAACGTACTTCCTGGACACTTTTACTATATTCAAGTTGTAAAATGTTGGCCTTGTCAAGAAAAGTGACTCTCTATCGGTCACGATACACTGCAAGAATGTCACGGCACCAGTATGATGCATTTACAGAGCACCTGGTACCTTTATCAATCATCACGACCCATCGATTACGGATCTAGAGCATGCATCCACTCTCCTATTTGATCACAAGATGATATGTGGTGACCTCAACATGCTTGAAATTAAGTAGGATTCACTTACTGGTCCAACTAAATATGACGACGTTTTTCATGCGCCGGTTGTCTTTAAATAATGCCATTACAAATTACTTTACGGTCAGTTCGCCACTAGGATATCCTGGTTACTCTGCAACTGCAAGGGAGCTGGGTTTAGTTGCTTTTTGAATGATCAACTTGAATGAGTATTCGGCTGTTTCAATTACCTTAATTTTCAGGTGATATTGCGACGCTGTCTTACATGACCTTGAATTTGGGGTGATGCAGCCTACCAGAATCTATGGTCACGGCACTTTTATTCGAACACTGGCGGGCAGGTAGTCGATGTATGTATCCGTTATACTGCTGCTGATCTAACACGCCGTGACCTAAGTGGGTTTTGCTCCAAGTTGTTTACCTCTCTCTCCAGGAAGCTGTTGTGGGCTAAACATGCTTCTGGGACATCACACCCAATCAGAACTGCAGCTGCATCACTCTGCAATCGAGGTAGCTTTTTTGCCTCAGAGTTACTTCCAGACCTCGATCTGTTGCTCGGATAGGGTTTGTGCAACTGATATTGGTAAGCGACCGATGATGCGCACCCTTCGTATCTTCACTGGACTCTGACGGTTTGACGAGCAGAGTTCTATACCCACATCTATGCATTGGCTCAGGGAAGTCCCATTCACGGTAAGGACTAAATCTTTGAAGATCTGTCTTGATATAAGTGACATATCGGCCCCATCTCTGTGCTCCCTTTGGGACTCATAAGCCTCACCGGAACGATTCACAAGTTTACTTCAGGAGACCTTACATCCCTGTCAAAGTGAGTCATAGATCCCTTATGCCAGCTTTACTCTCCGCTACATGTAGCAGAGAGTGGTGTTTTACCTTGCACCCCATAAACTTACATCTGGGTCCAGAAATGCAAGGCTTAGAAGTGCAGCCCATCTTTGAACAAGTGTTGCAGACACTATGTCATCTGGCTACCGATCTTCTCTCGTTAACCTGTACTTTTAATGGCTTCGGACAATGAGGTAGATTATAGAAGCCATGACACAAGACATAATTAGTAACAGAAGGTGTTTTCTTGTCACCTGTGGGGTGATCAGTGCATTCCACCAAGTGAAAGTGCGACTTTACCCTAAACTGTCACCCATAGCTCTTGATCTGGCCACTCTTCGGGTTGCTTCAAACCAATAAGTCGTACCTCAATCGACCCACTTGGGCTCCTTCTTCAGTAAAGCACACTGAGTCTTCAAACTCAAGCCACCCTCTGGCAACCAAAACCTCATCCGCTACATCGGCTCTTCCGCCTTGTAAACTTGTAAGCAAATGATTAACAATAGCCTCCAAGTTGACCGGTCGATGATGATGTTGCTTGCACGTTTCTCAGCTTTACAGGCAATTCGTAGCCTCAGCCGTATTCTCCACCGAGTGTCTGTTTCCGACCAAATCCTCTATAGCTAATTGACCAATCACACGATTCCGCCCAAACGCACCATGGAGGATTTCTGTTGCTCGATTACACCGGGGTCAATAGATAATTCAACACAAAACCACCGAAGTTGTCCTTCTGAGCTACAAATATTCCTTATCATTTCAATGTGATACATGCCCCTATTGATGTCGACTTTCCTTTACAAGTGGGCCAACAATTGGCTTTTGTCACTAAGTTTATTCTCCAATGCACTTCCAAACTGGCTAATGAAAAGCTGGTATTGTCTGGGCTGATTATGGAAATACATCAGTCCTGCTTTCGGTATGGTGCTGCTTACAATCAAAGCCAGATCGCTCCTCAAATCCGGTATGAAGTTGCTTTGTGTACCACAGGTTTCGAGTGTCCCAACACTGCCCATAGCCCCAGAATGACTGTGCCTCATCCTCAGCTGCTGACATATTGTAAGACGATACAAATCTTGATCCTTACTCTCTTTCTAGCCTTTTCTCCTCCAACAAACTTCTGGCCGTCTTATAATCGGTATAATTCCGCTTACTGCAAGAACCTTGCATACTAACATCATCAACGCCCGCTTTCTTCAACGTCATCAAACAAAGTATTGGAAATATGAAAGCCACTCTCTGTGTGTTTGGTCTAGTATTCCAAACTCGTCCAGAAGCTATATTTTTATGATCAGTAGACGTCGTAGAGGAACAGAATATTCCAGACACTGACACCGAGTTACAAGGTAAAGTAATCCAAACCGTCAAGCAAAATGGAGTAGAGCCAAACTTAAGAACTCGTGTTCAGGCGAAAAGAACCTTGCAGTTTGTAGCTAAAATGCGAGTCCCAAGAGTTCCCAGATCCGGAGCAAAACCAACCAGGTGCAAGACATTTGGCTGCCGAACAAGGAATGTATTCAAACTGCAGGTAATGTGCAAAGTCCAATTACAAACGCTCAATTTCATGGCTACTGCAACTTCCAACAGAACCAAAATACGATGGTGTCACAAATCAAAATAGGATCTTCGATATGGTTATACAAAAAATTGACTGAAGTTGAACAAAACGAATGGTCAGTGTTTTTGAACATATCATAAAGATGAAATCAAAACACACGCAGCACTAATTACTAGATTATATAATTTCTTTAATCGCTCTGGGACTTATTACCCTAGAGGCCTATAGCGGTAAGTTGTTCACTAAAACCAGTCGCCCAAGTTTCTATGAGGGTCGGTATTGATGCTGAAATTAAGCTTTTTAACGGCCCTATTTGGCTGAAGGCATACTTTGAAGTATTTGTGACACGTGTCCCTTTGTAGTGTTACATTACATCACTAGTATGCAATCCTCCAACCAGCTAGTGGAAACGCATCGGTATTTCTGCACGGCCATTCCTAACTGGCCTCACGGATGTGTTCTTCCACGATGTTGCATTCGTGAGTATTCAAAACATAGGAAAACTCTGAGATTGGACTATGTGTCCGTCAGGTTTGTGTGACGATAATTCCTAATGGCAACAAAAAGCCTATTTTAAAACGTTGGTGAATAGTAATCGACAGGAGCAATGCCTTGCGAATGACCCCGAAATCCCCCATAAAGTGAAATTATCAACAAGACTCCTTTGTTCCATGCAAATCTGCGCGTATAGCCGAAATATCGAAACCTAATTGTCCAGTGCCGGCACTTCCGTGCTTTGGACAACGTCTGGAACTCCCCATCCCCAAATTTTCTGACCATCAGTACCAAGGGAACATATCACCTTCACAGAGATAACTTGGGGAAGTAACACAGGCTAATAGGTTACCATACTTTTCACTGAAAACTGAATAGTGAATCTGTAGTCTTTCACGTCGTACTTAAGATCTACATTTTTACACAGGCCTATCCAAAATGAACTGTACCTCATTGAGGTCAGCATTTCGCTCTTTTAATTGATAGTCATCTCTCTTTCAATGAGCGTCTGTTCCAAATCATAACGGTACATGGCGAACATATGATTTTCTGCATTTTTGACAGGTCAGTTCCAGTGTTTTTGTCGTTTCAGTGCTCGTTCAATATGTGTAATGTGAACCTATACTTGCTTTGGCATGAATTTGTGCAAGATACATGTCTTTGAGATGTATTCATCTAACAAATAACATTCCTATACGGTCTAACAAACTAAGCAGATAACTTGGTGTCCGGCGATACATTTTCCTACACTTACGAAAAAAGTCTCAGTTAGCAGTTATTATGACTCTTTGCATGTGAAGATTCAATGATTCACCTTCAAAGGAAGCTTGGTCTCCATATACTGAGTATTCATAATTGGAAGTATATCGCCCACTTGACCTGCTATGTTTGTTTTCAATATGTAAAGCTGAATTTCGGATCGAAGTCAAGTGCATTCACGGTATTTCTAGACTAAATACGTGATTCTTTGGTGTAGCAGTTGATGCAGTGGTCTTATCATCAGACCCGGATTTGTTGTTTGAGTATAGAAGGCTGTGAGCCTATATTAACCCTTTCACAGTAGACTTCTGTGCTTGTCTATTCCTCTTTTGAATGGGTCAACTAATGATTCGAACACCGCTTCTGGAAGTTGGTTCCAGGAGTTGATTACTCGATGCGAGGACCAGCTCTCTACAAAGTCGTCGTCCATCAGTTGGTTTTGTATTCTCCTCCTATGTCCTCTGAGGCGTCCCAACCTATTAGGAAGGAAAAAAAGAATATAGATCAAGTCCGAAGTCATTTCTTAGAATCATGCATAACGTGATCAGGCCTCCTCTCTATGCGATAGGATAACAAGAAGAGGTTCAGCTCATTAAGACGATCTTCGTAGGTCAGGCTAGCCTTCGCAGGGATTATGCTAGTGGTTGTCGTTTGAACTCTTTCCAGACAAGAATTTTTCGCTTGTGGGCAGTTTTCTAGTTTAAACCTAACTAAGGATATGTACAAGGTGGTGAAGATATCGGCATTTATTTTTATAAACGTTCTGCGCAATGCCCAAAGTTTCCTGAAATTCCGTGCTGCTACCAACCGACAGTATGACTTGGTTTTCAAATCATAACTGACTTGAACTCATAGGTTATTGTGGGTCAGTGCTGAGGGTAGGGGAGTCTGACAAATATCGTATGTGTTATCATCTGTGTGCCCCACACGCATACTCACACATTCACCTGCGTCGATAGGCACTAGCTTTTTCTCTTACCAGGTAAAGAAGCTGCTTAGGTCTGTCTGAAGTGTATGTGTGCCCTTGTCATCCCTAATTTCTCACCAGATTTTTACATCAGCGTAGAGAGATTTCGTGATATTCGGCGGCTCATTTATGTATAGGCGAAATAGCAGGAGACCCAGGACAGTGCCATGGGGCACTCCAGTCTCTATGGATTTCCAACAGGTTGGTTGAGAATTGATCTTTACTCTTTGTCTCTTACCAATAAGGAACTCGATGACCCTTGCCAGCAGATTGAGACTTTAAACTTTTCCGAACGACTTACTAAGGTCTATGAAAATAACATCTACATGTATCCTATCATCTCTGAATCTAACCCAACTCTCTCTGGCTGTCAGAAGATTCGTCATACAAGAGGAATTTCTGCCAAAGCCATGCTACGACTGAGACAATAAAGTGTTGCTCTCTAAGTGAACTGTGATGAGTTTTTTATTGCTCTTTTTAGGATTTTTACTATAACACCAGTCAAACTTATCGGTGTGTAATTTGATGGATGCTGCCTAAAACCTGCCTTATAGATAGGTGTGACTATGACATCCTTCCAATCATAGGGGGGTGTACCTTCACTGAGGGACAGTCTAAACATAGTAGTCAGTGTACCGACTACATGAAGTCCAAGATCTCTGAGCACTCTTCGATGCAGTTCATCCAATCCCGTAGATTTTCTACGTCAAGAGTACTTAATGTCCGAAATACATCATTGCGATCGATATCCACAGAGTTATTCTGCTGCCAAATAAGTGTCATCAGAAGGTTCCTGTATCAGAACCCCACCGTAATATCCAGCCATTGCTTCTGATTTTTCTTCATCGTATTCATTTAAACAGTCAGTTTGTCTCTTTGATTAGGGTTGGTATACCATGATGTGTCTTATTCCTATAGTTCATCTAAGAAAATAACCTCTGGATGTGGCAGTGTAGCCTGGGTTAGATGTGTTCATAAGCGTATTCAAGACTGGCGGATAGCAGCAAGATATTTATTTCGGGCTTCTTTATAGTGCTTCATCACCTTCAAAGTCCCGGTGTGGGTGTCAAGACCCCAACACTTTTTCTTGCGTTATAGCAAGATTCCGATTTTGTGGTTTATCCACAGAGAGCAACGTTTCCATCCCTTCGGAACAGTCCACGGAGTGAACGGTTGATTCACTCGTGCATATAACTTTGAAGGAGCATCACGCCATATAGCCCCAACTAAGGCTTCTGGATTGACTGTCTTGTCTTCCGAAGAGGCTGCCAAGTTAATAGCCAACATATTTGCTTTCTATACATTGGGTCTAGCTGGGCATTGACCTGTTACAAGACAGTTGGTTTGAATCTGAAGGTGACCACAGCATGATCACTTTTGCCAAGAGGTCGAAGGTGCCGGACGAAGCATATATGATCTGTGTGAGAATACTAAGTCTAGAATTGATGGGTATGCTGAAGGTCGTATCTGGTAGCCGCCCTAGTGTTGCTATATAAGGGCCGAGGAAATTGATGTTTCCACTAACGAGTTACGTGATGCTTCTGTTGTTAGTCTATCCCAGTCAACTAATGGTGTGTTAAAGTCTCCTTAAACTGGGCATCGGCAGCTATCTGTCCTGAGGGTCAGCTTATTCAAGAGAAAGTTTTCTGCTCCTACTCACATAGGACTAATTATATGAGCTGTAAAATACATGTAGTTTCCGAATAGTTTTCTGCAGAAAATTCAAGTGAATCATGAGGTCTGATTTGAACATTTAGTCAACTCCCAAGTATTTACATCATACTTTGCTTTCAAAATAATCTAAAACAGTTAAACAGAGTGGGATTTTGTAACCTTTACATAGTGGAGATACTAGCAACTCACCAATTCCAGTGTGATCTTTGTAGGTAAAATTAGTACATTTTATTTGTCATCTTTTCATGGTCTTCTTTCTCCTCTTTTTGGTGCCTATGTTATACCTAGTTTGTGTTGTAAGTAAAATAAATAAAGGCTCCAATTCAGTTTTCGTATTTCGTTGTAATTAATCAGTTCATTGTTATCGTCATTACCACTTTTGTCTCGTTTTTTACCCTTTTCATGTGTATTATATCTAGAAACAGTTCTCACCTTGTCAAATTTTATGCTTTTCGTTTTACTCTAGCCATCTTACAGATTAGTAAGTAACCCCTCCCCATCTCTAGAAACGAATTTCGCTTGAATTCTGAAACACTATGCTAACGATGCATTGCTGCCATATTATTTAACAATTGACTCATTCGTTTGTATTAAAATAAATACACTTATTCAGCTTAAGAAAATGTTATGGTTAAAAAGGAGGAAATTTGTTAATTAAATTGTCTCTTTTTTTCTGTATGATTTAATGGTTATCGCTCGTTGTGTGAAGGAAAGAGTAAATTAAGATAGGTTAGGGTAATGAGATATTCAATATATTATTTCCCACTTACTTTAACTGAGTCCGTATTAGGCCATCAAAAGTATTTAAAGACATTTATTTTATCTAGAGAAGACTGACCAAGCTGCAGTTATGCAGCCTAAACCATTGATTAATGATTTGAACAATTCACCTTTATTTCTGTTTTCACTCTGTGTTACCATCCTGTCTCAACCAGCATATACCGCCTTACTTTCGTTGGTGTTGCCAAACTTTCAGTTTACTTAAACCCGTGTCAGTGACATATGGCACGTTTAGACTTCGGATCTACAAGGTTTCCATCTTTAATTATCGAACAGTATTCGTTTTTTAGTAAAATTATTGATTACTCTGGAGATATTTTGGTAGTTGTTTATCTCTAGTCATCAGGTTTAAACTATCTAATTTACTTCCAACTTACCACATTTTATTTATTAATTTTTATTGAATATCATAGACCGTCTTCATTTTTAAGGAAATATAAAGTTTCAACTTTGCCATTTCTCACTCTGTCTGTTGAATGTTCTTATATTTTTCAGATGGTGTATCATCCAGTTGATTTTGATATTGATGATTTCTTATCCAGAATTCAGGGAAACAAACCTCCTTTTGTATGTCCATCGGAAACATGTCGAAAAGTTTGCAGATCATACAGTTATATGCAAAAACATATGCTTATTCATCGCCCTCCCGCTCCAATAGACATCCCTGGACCATTTGTATGCGATGATAATTGCAGTGATTCCAAATGTGCATCTACTCTGCAGATCACCACGGATCAGATTGGAAAGACATCTTTGTTTTTCAGTAGCTCGACGGGAAACTTTAGCCCACAAAAGACCAAGACGCCTATGATTTTCACTGATGCTCATACTTCAGTGGTTTTCGAAGCATCTTCGACTACTAGAGGTCGCACATTCCGCTGTAATATATATGTCCCTTTAACTATTCGCCTGCAAAATGTGGCGAACCTAGGCGATGAACAGAATTCCTGCATTTCAAAGAAAGCATTACCCACTCTGGAAAGCAATTCTAATAACAAAAGACCACCTTTCAGTCGGGCTAAGATACCACACTCTAAAAACAAGTATCGGGGCAAAAACAGTAGAACTTCTTCAGACACAGCAAAGTTTCCAGAAAGGTTTGATTTTGAGTCCTTGGAGAAAAAAGGCACCTTTCCCACAGATGGCGCAGAAAAAGACACTGCTACAGAAACACCGAAAGCAGTTTATTCAATTGATTCAGAGTTTTCTATCCGTAAACCTATCAGTTTGAGAGAGAATTCAGGTTATATTCGCTTCATCGAAAAAACAGCAGATGAATTGGATGAAGTTGTCGAGTATGACTTAGATGAGGAGGTAATTACTAACTTACAGCTCTGTAGTGACTAATATAGAGCTGTATTTATCTGATTTCTTATTTTCACGTGTTTATCTGTGTCAATGTCGAAATAAGGTGGTGTGTCATCAGACCAAATGTAGGCATAAAAAGTACAGAATATATGATATCCTTTCCGTCACCGTCATACCATATTTTTATCATCATCATCATGAATATCAACATAGGATCAGGCATTACTGCGTAACCGTCCGAGTTGCCGCAGCTCATATCATATTTTTATAGTTTATAAATTCAGTCAGTGAATAACTCGGAAACTTAAATTGACTGTACTGGGTGCAAGTCACATTAAGAGCACCAATTTAATGACTTGTGTATATTTCTCGCTAATAAGTTTTAACTGAAATAGTTGGTAGTGTCATATATTCTATTGCTAGCTTATCTAAATAACGTCGTAATCAGTTACATTTATTTAGGTATCACTACACGAAATAAATACCAACGAATATTAGTTTCTCATCCGGTTACGATGATAGCTTTGGTGAATAGCCTTGTTGTTCTCAATTTCTGGGTGAATTTTAACTTTGCGCAAATTACTTAAAAGTCGTAGCTTGAATCTCTAAAACTGCGTTTCTTGAAACTATTTAGAGATGGATATTTGCAAATAATATAGTTCCGCTTGTTTTTACCCTGAATGATTTGATCTGAGAAGTAGTCATTCTTGTATTTTATCTACTCGTCCCTCATTTCACTGAAGTGTATAATGGAGCTGCTGAAATTCGTCTTCTTTCCTCCCAAGCAGTTGATTGAATATTATAGTTTCGTAAAGTATTCAAACGCCACTGAATTAAGTTGTTCATCCGAAAAACATCCTTTTTCATATATGACTCCGGAAAATATCAGATACCTTTATTTATGGTCCTTTGTTTGTGGTCAGGGTTGCACCAATAAAAATTATATTTCGTTGAAATAAGACTTGGAATTGTCAATTTGATAAGATGATATAAGTACTCCCAGTGTTGTTTACAGAAATCTTCTATGAATCGTGGCATTTCAAGATGATATGACTTGGATAATAAGGTTATTGGAACGATTCAAAGCAGCTGCTTTTCTCCATATGCACAGTTATTGATCTTGATTCTTTTAAAAGTTGACTTGTCAGATTTAATTGCTCTAGTGATGGAATAATTCACTTAAATAGATCATGAAAATTGGTGAGTGCGAATATTCTGATAGGAGGTATTCGAAATGTATACACATTGCGATGATACTGTATCTTTTTGTATTATTATGGATTCTAAGAACGCTAAGAATAAGGCGATTTTAAAGTTATTTCGCGGTTTTTATCAGCTGTTGGCAAACTGAAATAGTTTGAATCATATAATTTGTCAGTGTTTACACAGTTTCACAGAAAAGTATTCGGTCTAAGCATTGATATTACGGTATTTGTAGTTACAAGAGCTACCTATAAGGTCATCTATTTATGGGAAAAGTGATTTGAATGAATGTTTGAAGTCAAGTTAATTCCAGATAAACAACTTCTACAAATGAACTACTCTAGCTACAAAAATAACAAAACAACCATACCAATAACTCGTATTACTTCGATTATTTTCTTTTCATTAGTTTCAATCACATAATTTTGTATTTCTTTTGAGGTAATATTTTCTTACCAAATTAACTAAACTACGTAAACATTTTTAATGGCCTTCGTTGTGTTGTGTTATTTGAGTTGGGTGGTTCAATCGTGAAGCCTTTACTATCTTTCTAGACAACACCACCAACCCTAACTTCTATATGATGGATTTAATCTTTGAGATTTTTCAGCGTTTCACCGAAATGATTCGTTTTAAAAAGTAAATTATGTTAATTTCTCCTTTGTAAGTTATGCAAAGTTAAGATACAGTAGACAGTTGGTATCAACACGGAATGTAGCATTACTACACGATGTTCCAAGTTGCCTCACCTCATATTACTACTTCAAGATGAAAGATACAAAAATTATGAAGAAGATAGTTAAAAGTGGTAGAAAGTCGTGGAAAGAGAACAAGAACGAGTGAAACAAGAATGAATATCGATATGAAGATTAAGATGAGGCCAATGTACAGGTGTTTGGCCAACGTTGCCTTCGTAGTATAGGAGGTATTCCGTGGTGTCACCATGTGAGTAATGCAGAAGTCAGGTGTAGAGTTTTGGGGAGAAGAGGTAAGTCAGTTGACGAGGTTGTGAACCTTCATCGACTGAGATGGTTGGGACACGTACTACGTATGCCTAGTCACCGATTGCCTCGTCACACAATGTTGGCTGGGGTGGGTCCAGGCTGGAAAAAGGCCCGAGGAGGCCAGACTAAAACATAACACCAATGTATGAAGTCTCTGACCGTTGGTTTAAGCCATGTAGAACGATTCAGACTAGGTGGTTGGGGTCCACGGGACAAGAGGAACCAGTGGTTGGAGACCCTAGGTGATATGGCTGAGAACCGAAGTCAGTGGCGCAGATGAATACACACATTATCCTCATCTTAACAACGCTATACCGAATGTCACCATTTTGTCACTCCTCTTTCCTTTCTTCTCGTACTTTATATTTCTTTTGACTGCATTCACTTACCTTCACCTCACTACCTTTTTACATGATGTGCTGATATGAGGTGTGGCAACTCAGACCGTTACGCAGTAATGCCTTGTCCTATGTTGATAATGATGATAATGAATGTACAGATGCATCTGCACCACTGAGGTCGGTTCTGATCTATATGCATAGTGGGATATATGGTTTCTGTTGATCAGATATGATTATACTGTAAGGATTTAAAATTTATCCTGAATGAAAACTACTTATGCAGTAATGTGTTTTTGATCTCATAAACCTCGCGTTTTTTCGATATAGCGCTAATTTTTACAAATTCCACTTGTTTATTTAGGATATTTTCTGGCTTGAAAGGATCAATGCGAAGCGTAAAAGTCTATCACTTTCACCTGTCACTGAGTCTACCTTGGAATGGATTATGGACAGATTTGAAAAAAAGGCTAGATTCAGATTATTTTCATCCAGTGGTTGTGAGACAACCGATGCTCTACCTGATATTGGTGGCAACCAATCAGGTATTGATGAAGACGCTGTATGTGCTGTGTGCCAAGATGGAACTTGTGAAAATACAAATGTGATATTATTCTGTGATGTTTGCAATTTGGCTGTTCACCAAGTAAATTTCGATGATTTTCTGATCTTATTTGTTTTATATCCATTTCTTATTGCTGTGAAAATGCAGTTGTCTTTTTTTTATTGGTAATTCACTTACTAAATGCTTCTTCATTTAACTGAGTCAACATCGTAAAACATTAATTATCTAGTAGTTATGCCATGTCTAGTGAAATCTTTCCAACTGAAACCATGTAGGCGTAAATATGTTTTTATTTTGTACAAGGTGTTTGTGAAAAATGCTCAGTGATAGCCTGTGAACCGTAGCTTTGCAGCATACCTTATGTATCTCAACAATAAGGGATTTTTATTACTGTCAGGTCTTTATAGTTGATATTTATTCTCAAACTAACTTCAGTATATCTCAGTGTTGAATGTTATTACACTGAGTTTATACTTTGTGCCACTCATCTCTCCAGTCCCCAAGGTCATTGTCGTAAACGAATAGGATTATCGATATTGTAATACACAATTTTTGCTATAGCATTCCCGTCAGGATTCAAAGTCTTAGGTTTTATCTCTGTATTACTCCATAGGTGGCTGTTTCGTAAGTGATTACAATACTGTTAATGACAATGAAGTTGCACCTCATGATGCGTTGGCTAATACCCTAGTTTATTTATTTGAATAGATTATTTGCTTGTTTCACCAGTAAAAATATCACCGACATGTTTTTCTGCTAAAGCTAACTGACTGCTGATTGTTATTTGTAGTGTCTTTCATGCTTTCCCACCACTCATGGTTGTATCCTTAGATGCTCGGGTACCTTTCGTAGTATCCATCAGGTTGTAAGAAGCTTGCATTATCAACTGACTTCACTTATCTACTAATGCTAACTAGGAGAAGTGAAATTAGCATTGATGTGTGCTATCTTCTGTCATTTGATGCCAATGTCTACATGTGTTCAGGTAACTATAATGTTAGTTATTTTTAAGGACTATGTGCGAACAGTATCTTTTGGCCATCAGGTGAGATGATACGAGCATATATGATAATCTAATGCAACAACTCACTGTCTCAAAATGAGTTAGAAAACTTGGTGTTATAAATTAGTGTAGCGGTAGCTCACAGAGTTAGTATTAGCAATTACCAGTAGTAAAAAGCAGATTTTTGAACTACCATTCTCCTACGCAACTTCACTTGGTTTTTTTTCAGTATTCAAAATTTTCCATCCATAATTACGGCAGTTGGACTGGCAAACCTATAAAACTATATTTCTAAAGTGTCGACATTGATATTACGTGTATAATTCACTGTAAACCCACTACTTATTTCAATTTTTTTAAATTTAGGAATGCTACGGAGTTCCTTATGTTCCTGAAGGTCCCTGGCTTTGTCGTAAATGCTTGCATTCACCAAGTGAACCAGTTTCATGTGTTCTGTGTCCAAACAGAGGTGGTGCTTTCAAAAAAACTACTGATGATAGATGGGCTCATGTAATATGTGGATTATGGGTACCTGAAGTAATGTTTGCTAACCTCACATTCCTCGAACCACTTGAAGGCATAGACAGGATAGCACCAGCCAGGTTAGTTCTGTAAATATTTGTTTTGAGGGGGTTGTGGAGATTTGGAAATATTTCAAGTTGTTATTCATCGAAGACTGACATCAGTTGGAGGAACAAAGGAAACCTGGGAGCACTGGACAGCTGTTTCGTCCTAGTATGGGACTCCTCAGCAGTGCGCACCCACGACCCCACCAGCAGGGATCGAACCCGCGACCTTCAGGTTCCGCGACCAGCGCGTTACCATTGAGCCACTGGGTCACAATCCAATGCTCCATATTTCCAACTTCTGTTAGCTCATGATATAGCGCGAACCGCCACCTAATGTCATCGTTGAGTTGGAAATATGGAGCATTGGATTGTGACCCAGTGGCTCAATGGTAACGCGCTGGTCGCGGAACCTGAAGGTCGCGGGTTCGATCCCTGCTGGTGGGGTCGTGGGTGCGCACTGCTGAGGAGTCCCATACTAGGACGAAACAGCTGTCCAGTGCTCCCAGGTTTCCTTTGTTCCTCCAACTGATGTCAGTCTTCGATGAATAACAACTTGAAATATTTCTTTGTTTGACTTTGCACTTGAAGACAAATGTTCTGTGGTCTGTTAATATAATTTCTCACTTCCCAACCCACTTTTGCCTACACTGCTTCACCTTCTGTCTTTACCTAGATTATTAATCTGGTTTAGTCAAAAAGTGATATGTTAAACGTTTCCTCCCTTATTTGTTATTGTAGTGGAAAGATCAGTGCAAAAGTGATAAGATAAAAGTAGCTAATATCCGTTTAATTACGCTATGGTGAGCATCTAATGAGGAATCGGTAACGCTAATTGTACTGAGACGTATCGATGTTAACATACTTTCCTCTGGCAATCAACATTTCTAGTTATTCTGCCTTCTTTTAGGTTAGAGCTTAGTAAAGGTTTGTTGTGAAAACCACATATTCCACCGTACTTCATGATTATGCTCTACTAGTGTGAAGGTCTTTTAACGAACAGCTCTTGTTAAAGTTGGCTTGTAAAACGTGTATAATCGGCCTGAAGGAGATTCCCCCTGAATTATACCAATAATCAACTGTCTCTAATATATTCCTGATTGATAACTTTTACAATGGTGACAATTCCAGGAAGTACTGGTCATTCGCATATCTACAAACTAACACTTTTTACCAAATTGACCATTTCTTTTGTCATTATAAAAGTTTTATATTATTTCAACCACTGTGATATGTCGGCAAAGGCCAACAATGAAAACTGATTACTAGTTCACATTTTCTATCATAATCCTAGATAGCGTCAACTATATAACAAAACGGACCACTATACCGAACGCGCAGGCTTGTTAATGAATAAATAATGACAGCTGTAATTAATTAGTTGATCCACTTTAATTATTTTCACTACACTTAAAAGACCGTTTCAGCGATATCTTTCCTAACATCAGAAAATGGCATAGTACATTCTTTGGTCAGAAAGAAGATGGTCGTCATGGATCAGCATTTAGATTCATCTACTTTTCTGTGTTAACTCAATTTGTAGTAGGGTATGAGACAGCAAAACTAGTTGACCATCCTGTTCACTCCGGCTTCGAAGGTAAAAGTGTTTCTCAAGCTATTCATTGTAAGATAAAAAAAACTATTTACATGGTGAGGATTTTGAGTGTCTGTAATAGAAAAAATAACTCAGCATTCTTAAATTTATAAGAGAAGTTAAAGATGGTATACTTAACTGTTCTCTTTAGTTTAAAATTTTAATATATTCAAAACACCGCATAATATGATTTTCACCATCCTTTCTATAGATGGCGTCTTCAGTGTTTCATATGTAAACAACGCAATGTTGGTGCTTGTATACAGTGTCATAAATCCAGTTGTTATCGAGCATTTCATGTGACCTGTGCACAACAAGCTGGATTGTATATGAAAATTGAACATACAGATGATCCTGGAGATTCTGGAATCCGAAAGAGTGCATTTTGTGATCAACATTGTCCACCAGATCATTTTTCGGTAAGCCTGCATATATATAAACATAGTTTGCATATGCTTGTTAAAAGCTATTTATGTGCCTTAATTCTTTCAAGGTGGTCATCACGAAAGCAAAAGACTTAGGTGATGTCACTGGTATACTATTCAACCTATTTGTACATGATTCCACTTTATGTTAACTGAGATACCTAATGAAGTGAATGGTTCTGTTTTTACATCCTAGAATACGTAAACATAATGACATAATGGATGTATGTAGTGTGTCCACTCTTTATTAGAGTGAACTGAACCGAGTAAAAGTATCCAGCGTAAACAACAACTGCTTTACTATTGGTTCTTTAAGGTATCTAGTAATAGTTTATGTGAATATAATTACATTCTAAATTGAAGCAAAGTTCACCTGTTTTTCCTCTGAGCATGCATAAAACTATGAGGTGTCTTACTGGTTGGTGAAATTAATGCTATATTATCTTCTTTATGTAACCTAATGTAGCTATAGCAGAAGTATTTTAATGGTCAAACTACATTGTGTGGTGCGGTTGTTGTTCATAATTCGAGTAAATACGTAAACGGCAGTGAATTTACTGATGAATAACATATCAGGCTTTTATTGGTAGAATCTTTCTTTCATCGGATTGGTATAGTAGCATCGTTATCACTAGCATATAGTATAATGTATAATTGGGTAATGGCTTTTACTTGTTTTTTTTCACTTTGGGATACCAAAAACAGTTGGTTGTAACAAATTTCACTTCTCAAATTGAAATAATTTTGGCTCATACTCCAGAACTAAATCTGCAACCATTCCTAGTTTAATGATAAAGAGTGAAGTGGTGGAATGCGTTGACCACTTAACTTACTTAAGAAAATACATCAGCCCGAACGGGGTGGTTGATAGCGGAATCTCAGTTCATATACAGAACGCCCGTTTGGCATTTGCCGACTTGCATTACCTGTGGGGCTGACTGGTGAGATATCTGACTATCTATCAAAGAACGAGTACACTGGGCTACAGTCCTTCCTGTCTTGTTGTATTCCTGTAAGACATGGCTGTTAAAAGTAGAAGCCATAAAGCTGTTTCAGGGTTTCGTTCATAGATGTCTTCGTAGCTTCCTCGCTTGTGTTGGAATCGCCATGTGAACAATGTTCAGGTCAAGCGAAGGATATTAAGCAAGACAGGTAAGTAGATTAATGTGTCTGTGAACCTTAGTGGACTGAAATAGCTTGGACATGTGTTGCGCATACCGAGTCACCACCACCACCTACCTGGATGTTTGATGTTAGGTAAAGTTGGATTAGGTTGGAAGAGCGTTGATCATGGCGAGACTAAGACGTGACAGTAGTGAATAAAGTCGCCGACTGTTGGTGTGAGTGAGTGAGTGATGTGAGGTGATGTGGACTAGGTGACTGGGGTTGCGGAGACGAAAGGAACCATTGGTTGAGGACTGTTGGTTACATGGTTGAAAATCGGTGAGAATGGTGTAGATGTATTAACTCGTTGACATGTTGTAAAGGTTGAATATGTTGTGTAACAGTTATCTTCAAATTATTTGTTCTCTCACACTACATTTTCTTCTTTGATATCACTCTTTTTTCTATCTACGTATTCTTTGTATAATTTTGTGAAGTGTGACCACTTGGGTTGATGCAGTTGTGTACTAGTTTCTACGTTGATTTTATGCTGTATCCATTCGTAAAGTAAATTATCAAAAATACAAGTTCCTATTCGGTTAGCTAAAACATTTGTCTTTTTTTGTTTGTTTAGAGTTCAAATAAAGGAATGTATGCTCACTCTGATTCTGAAAGTCCTCAGTCTCCTGAACAAGCAGTTCGAATTCATTTACGAAAAGCTCGTAAACTTTTAGCAGAACGTAGAAATTCTAAACCTTCTGTTTGTGTTCCTATTGTTTCGAAAGCGAAAATGGATGTAAGTTATTTGTAGAAACTTCATTTTTGAATGTTTAACTGAATCAGAATATAGTTTCATAATTTACGTAGTTTTTAACCATTTTTCATAAGGCTTATACTCCGTAAATTGTCAAGAAACTATGTAATGTATTTTGAGGTTAGTGGGGATTTTAGTTCCAAGGTAGTATTCATTAACTGACATAAGTTGCAGAACTATTGAAGACCTCGAAATACTGGACAGCTGTTTCGTCCTAGTAAGTGAAACTCCTCGGTAGCGCGCACTCAGTACCTGGCTAGGGGTCGAACTATGAACCTTCAGCCTTCACGGCGAACGCACTAATCATCCAGTCACTGGATCGAAGTTCAATGGTCCACAGTTTCTCACTTCTGTCGATTCGCGATGTAGCGCGACTATCATCTAAGCTCTTCATTTGATATCTATCTCACTTCCTACTGGTTGACCCCATATGTCACAGCTTCTCATTAGAACTTCTGGGTATTCATCTTGAAACATGTCACTAATGATCAGTATACAGTAATACATTTTGGAGTTAATGGGAATTTTATGCTTAAGCTAGCATTCATCAGAGACTGACATCAGTTGGGGGAACCATTGAAAACCTGGGAGCATTAGACAGCTGTTTTTTCTTAGTATGTGAATCCTCAACAGTGATGCATGCTACCTTTAAATAAACAATTTTTTCTAGAGAAAACTAGAAATTCAGCCAAGTTATCTTTCCACCAATTTCATTCTTCTCAGTTTTATAGTTATAAAAATTTCTTAGAATGAAACCTATGAAATTGGAATTGTACTGCTGTAGGGCAGGGAAATCGTCCCCAAAAATATCTTCACTAAACTTCTTATCTTCTCTCAAAGTGCATATTAATATTTATGTTGGTAATTATGTGTGGTTTAGCATGTTGATACCCTTAAGAAAATTTTCCTGTAATTTTGCTTTTCTAATAGATGCTTCAGTATAAAGAGTTGAATTTTTAAAAATGTACATTGTTGTCAACAAAAGTATTTATTTTTTGATCGTTCCCGAGTCCGAATCCCGGTGCGAACAACATCACTCACTGGGAGGCAGGTTCACCTAGCTGACTAGTCCCAAATAGGACGAAATGCGCATCCTGGATTCCACTGCTAGCCACTATTCATCATTACTAAGTTGCACTGTTTGCATAATCCAATAAGAAGACGGAGGTTATTTGGAAAATATCATGTATTTACGCAGTAAATTTCTAACAGTCTGATCTTATGTATGCTTGTCAAGACATTTTATATGAAAGGTGAAAACTGTTTAGGGTAAGGTAAAAAAAGTGGGGATAATAGAAGATTCGGAAAATGTAATGATAATAAGGAGGACTAATACATCTTCATACCTTCCTTGGTGTTGAAATGAGATAAAGATTACCAACGTAGGTTTAAGATAAGGAAACACTTTTTTTTAGTCCATAAAAAGGGGTTTAAACTTTCGTATAGCTAAAGCTTTAACAAACCTAAGTATACAGTCTTGATGGTTCCTATTTGGGGGTCAATCCTGCAACCTGTTTCTACAGTGTGTTAACCTATGGACGATGACGTCTATGTTTACCCTGTATTTATCAGATTATTTGAATGTAATTGTTTTTTTTATAGCCATTTAGATATATGTATGATCAGACTGTTCGAAATGTATTGCGCAAATACACACCACATTTCTGAGATAACCCCTGTCTTATTAATACATTATGCAAATTTATCAAAGGGACTAATTGTTTCCAATTGAAGTGTGTCAACATAATTTCACCATTTTAGTTTATCTAATAAAATAGATCAAGAAAGGAAGTGTTTTTCAACGATTCATTTTGCTCACATTATGATTTAAACTATCAACTTGTCCACTAAACGTTTTCAACCGTTATATGTTATAATCTTGTTCATAAAGTACTCGTTATGTTATCCTATGATTATTTCTTTGTGTAATGTACGCCTTATGTGAAATAATAGTGTGGATAGTTTTCAATAAGGATTAATATCAAAGCCAAAATATCCGTTTTCTCTTTGAGATTCGCTAACACTGCACACCCATTCTAATAAAGATAAAACTGAATACTTTCAGGTTTTCGGTGAGCGTTTGTAACTATTTGCAGCATTAAATAATAGTTGGTCTGCACCACGAGCTGATAATTCGAAAGTGTTGTTCAATGTGTATCGAGCTATAAACTAATGACTAACATACTGTCCACAGGACTTGGAGACTCTGGGTTTTTGATTCCATATGGGGTGGATGGTGTGAACTTTTTGAGGCCCTGATCTAGAATGAAACAACTTTCAGGCATCTCTGAATTCTCGTATCAACGAATTGGAAACGATAATCTGCATATTTGCACTGTAGTACCAACCTAAAGCATGAAGCGAGATATTGTGTTACCTACCATCCACGAACATCAAGCTGACATCGGATACAGATAGATCGTATCGTTGTAAGTCATCGTTGGGGAGGGTCAGTGGATAAGTTTCTCATTTTTGTAAAAAACTTACTTAGATTTCGGTTATGCATGAAAACTCGAGGACTGATTTCGAGTTTTGGTGAAAATTTCCCTCGAACTGTTGAGTTTCCTGCAAGCTCAATACATTCGTGCAGTAGGTGTTTGTAGGATAAAACTTGTGAAAACTTATGTGGTTTATCCATGAAGCTTAACGGAAAAAAGTTAAACAGTCACTTTAAAATTATAAAATAGTGAAGACATGTTCCGTCTAGGCAATGTTTCCACATAAGGTAGTATACTGACTCTAACTTTTCCAGCTAAAATGTTATTTGAAATGGGTACAAAACCCCAGGCAAAGTAATCACGAAATTTAACATTAAAATTCAATTAATTGTTTTGTAACAAAGTAGACGTTTGGAACTGGGTTACTAAGATAGAAAAACTGATAGTGCCGACTGGAGTTATTATCGTAATTTTTCACTAAACTTCATATCTGTTCGAATTACTGATTGAATTTGCACTTCTGGGAATCAGATTATGTTAAACTTCTCTCATAATAATTCATTTATTGGTAATTCAGCTTGTAAGTAGGTTGTGAAAAACCGATGGAATAATAAGATGGATCCTTATCATTTCCTGCTCAAATTGTTGCTGTTGCTTTCTTCAGGGTCACCAAGGGAAATGTATGTAGAAATATCACGTAACCAAGGTTATATGATACCATATTCATCTTGATGACTATTAGTAGGATCTAAAACGCGCGTTTCGCCCTATTTAGGGCTCGTCAGCTGGATGTGCTTGCACCCCAGTGAGTTAGGTTGTTCCCACTGATACTCGAACCCAGTATTCATCGCTTAAATCTCCAAAGCATTATCCACTAGGCCACTGGAGCATGATAGCCGCCTCTTGCACAACGGGTATCAGTTGTTGTTGTTGTTGCAATGGGTTCGTCTGCATCTCCTATTGTGCAGAACTCCATGAATAATTTCTGGTTTCGAATACGAAAAATATTGCAATATGTGAACTGAAGACTGCTATTAACACAGTCATACAGTAGGCTCAGTGATATGTTTATGCTCACTGAATGTTTGCATCTACTGAGATTGTAAACTACCACTGTGATTGTTTAGGTCTTGAATCTATATATTTTATTAACAACAAATTATATATTACGTAGCTGGTATAAACGCTTTCTTTCCAGGGATTAAGAATTTTAAGAGAATTGCTTATGAGTTATAGTTTCAGTGGGAAAACGAAGTCCACTTGAATTATGAGTCGTAAACGGGGATCTGAATTCTAATGCAATAAAAATAAGCAAAATTGTTAAGCACTTACACGTAATCTTCATATAATGAATATTTATTTGAATTTTTGTGTGCTAACATTAATACATATTTTATACAGTCGAAAAATATATGAATTTGTCCGGAGCCAGTAGCTGCTACCTTGGCGTGGTGATCTGGTTTGCTTGTCACAGTGACCCAACGAAATATGTTAGTGGAACGCCTATCACCTCGAGGTACTGCCATGCGAGAAAGCTCAGCTGGATATTGGTAAGACAAAAAGCAGTTACCGCCATACTGTAGGTAGCTACACTATGTTGGGGGTCCAAGGGGGATGCTTACTGCTGGCTGGACGGAAATGTGACCGCAATAAGGAAGTTCCCGCAGATAACCATCAGTACCATGCTATTGCTGTCTTCCCTTTAGGAAGCTTGATGGAAGGGGGGTGGAAAGGTTGACCCTAAAAGTAGCACTTTCGCTTATCCTGTGATATACCACTGTCGGTGGTATGGATTTATAATTGGATTCGAAAAAAACCGAGATCTCAAACTCTCATGAAGGTCGTGTATGACTGACCTCAGGGAGAGATATCCGCTAGGCTTTGCAGCCACATACCTTATAACTAACCTTCTTTCTCAATTACCTCGAAAAGAAATAGCACTGTATGATTGTGGGCATCCGGGCAGTGTCGACCACTCTCACAACTTTGTCAGCAATCACTTTGCTTTAGATCACTAACAACATTACACATTTTTACTTTCGAATCTTTCTTCATCTTCGTTGGTCCGTATTCATACTTCTTTTATTTCTGCCAACTCTGCAGCTCTTGATAACGGTTCTAGTTCGCAGAACAGTTTCTCTGGTCTCCTGAAACGGTTTCCTGAACTACATATAAATGCTTTTAATGTCTGCACCTTCCATCAAATCAACCAATAAGCATCGCAAACCAAAATTCTAGCATCTTGGACCATGAATGTGTTCTGTATAAGATACACATACAAGATGGAAGTGTGGTTATTCACTTGACCTCATCCGGTCAGTACGGTGAATCGTCAAGTTCCACCCTTCGAGTTTCCAGAGATTCGATGGCTTGTTCTTGCGATGTTGCAGATGTAGGTATCGCATTGAGCGCTAAAGCAGGAAGTGTACTACTCGACTGGATTCCTGTTATCAGTTGCATGTGAACTGTTCAACTGAACGGCATAGAGGGGATTAAAAAGAATAGAAACTAGTCGTTGTGTCTTTTTAATTTGTCCTCAAGCACCCTCTTACTGAAAGTAAAGCACTCATACGTGATAGTTGTTGCAGGTGATTTTAATGTTTAAGTGAGTGGACTAAGTCAGACAGAAAGGCACTTAGGTAGCACTTTCGGAATCCCAGCCAAGCGAACAGATAACGGCAATCACCTCTACAACTGTGCTCAGACAACCATTTCCGGTCAGCATATAATTTCGACATATAGAGAGATATTGTCTGCTGTGGTGTCTACCAACCTCAACTGAGCAGTGGCACAGGTAGACGTACTATTATCAGTTACCTCTGAAGAAGGTTGGTTGAAGATTACCGCTCCTTCTGGAGCAGCATGTGCTTGGACTTGTGTCATTTGTGGCGCCACATGGCAAGATATCCGACTGTCTATCGAAAAACGGGTATGCCGCCCTGTCCTTGTTTATGTCTGTGAGACATAGCTGTTAAAAGTAAAAGGCATAAAGCGGTTTCAGGGTTTCGCTCATAGATGTCTTCGTAGCTTCCTCGCTTGTGTTGGAATCGCCATGTGAACAATGTTCAGGTCAAGCGAAGGATATTAAGCAAGACAGGTAAGTAGATTAATGTGTCTGTGAACCTTAGTGGACTGAAATAGCTTGGACATGTGTTGCGCATACCGAGTCACCACCACCACCTACCTGTATGTTTGATGTTAGGTAAAGTTGGATTAGGTTGGAAGAGCGTTGATCATGGCGAGACTAAGACGTGACAGTAGTGAATAAAGTCGCCGACTGTTGGTGTGAGTGAGTGAGGCGATGTGGACTAGGTGACTGGGGTTGCGGAGACGAAAGGAACCATTGGTTGAGGACTGTTGGTTACATGGTTGAAAATTGGTGAGAATGGTGTAGATGTATTAACTCGTTGACATGTTGTAAAGGTTGAATATGTTGTGTAACAGTTATCTTCAAATTATTTGTTCTCTCACACTACATTTTCTTCTTTGATATCACTCTTTTTTCTATCTACGTATTCTTTGTATAATTTTGTGAAGTGTGACTACTTGGGTTGATGCAGTTGTGTACCATTTTCTACGTTTATTTTGTTTATCTCTCTGTCTGATGCGTTCGGACAGTGTGCCTGCTTAGGTTCAAGCACACTTAGATGAAAGTGCGAGAAGTACGGAAAGAAAAACCATTACGAATGATACTTGAGGATGAGAATACTTAGGCTGCTTCGGTAAAGAACTGGTCAGATACTAATCAGAACAGGACACTTCTATTCATGCTGAAGTTGCCTGGTACCATCTTCAGTCTGCTGTAAAAACAGCGACGAACACCGTAGTCTACTCTCAGAGGGTTTCCGAAGGGGTCCAATGGATCTCATGAGCTTCTGAGTAATGGATGAATGCAAACACATCCCTGCAGGCTCCAAAAATCGGGAAGCAGAATTAACTAAAATGCAGACTGACGTAAAGTTCACATAATTTCTGCGGGTGGTGGTGTTTAGAGAAGATCAAAGAGATGGAAAAGGCAACAGAGATAGTTGTTTAGACGTAATAAAAAAACTTAGGCAAAACAGTTAGTGGTTAATGTTACGCTTCCTACTTGTTATCGGTAATTTGTCCAGGAGCGCACCAAACTGTTCTAGTCACTAAGAGACCACGGATATCAACTGCCATCCGCCCACGTTTTATCACCTCTCAGTTTTTTCCCGTCCCGACTAACTGGGGAGAAGACATTCCGAGCCTCATGATATATTAAAAAAAGTACAAGACTTTAAAGCGCAGACTGGATCATCATAGTATCAATGAATAAGAACACAAAGTAAACTTCTGAAGTACGTTGATGTATTATCTGTTAGTCTATCGATAGTCGAAATTGGCACAAAGTAGGTTTTGGATGGTCTGTTTCCGGACTAGTTGACTAGTCCACTTATCAGTTAGTGAGACTACAGCCAAGGATAAGTTTGTGATTCACTCACAGGGAAGACAACTGGAACAATGGCGGGAATACTTCGAGGAACAGTTCAGCTGGCTTATAGCTACTATTCCGTTGCTGCTATTCAGATGAGTTCTGACTGGAACATCGAAATAAGACCAACACTTATAGAAATCGTGAAAGCTTTAGGTAACCTGAAACAAGGGTTTGCAGCAGGCCCAGACCAATTATTGTCACAGGTATTTAACGACGGTAGCTGAGAAGTATTCGTCAAGTTAAGCGAACTGTTAGCCAGTGTATGCAAACCAGACATGATCTCTAACTAGTCTCAATCACTGATTGCCCCAGTCTTCAAGAAAGACGAAAAGTCCTCTTGTGATAACCACTGGAAAACCAGCCTAACGGGCATATTGTTTACGATCCTAGTTATTATAATCATTCGACGTCCAAGTGAAGCTTGAGAACAGCAAACCTCAGAAAAATAGGCAGGTTTCAGACCTGGTCATGAGTGCGTCGGCCAGATATTCGCACGACCGAACTTTGATGCACTTCTCAACCTGAAGGTGCCATTCGCCCCGGTCAATCTAGAGGTCTTGTATCAGTGTCTGTCAGTGAGTGGGTACTTCTGAAGGTCCCTCTAACGTCATCTAACTTCACAGGAATTACTCTTATCACAAGAGGATCCTTAGTGGATCTAGAGAATAAAGATGACATAGTGAATAGGCAGTAACGATGCAGTCTTTTGAACACTTAGAGTGATAATCTGAAAATGTTTGGGATGCGTTTTGTGCACCCATTTTCAAACTATCTCTTTAGGACTGACCTTCTCGGGTACCTTACTTGACAATAGGCAGGGGAAATGGGTGTGATCGTGGATGAGTAAGTGACCGATAAAATTTCGTCATGGACACAAAGACTCAGTCAACTTACGCCATTCATGAAACCGCTGTTATATCTGATTGTCTATTAGGAGTCGAGTTTACTGCTCTGCAATCCACTCTGTTCTTCTGTATGGGCTTGAAATATGGCTGTTGAAGGTAGATGACATGAGAGGACTTCAGGTGTTCAACCACCGCTACCTTCGTAGCATAGACCGTGTTTCGTGATATCAGCACATCAGAAACGAAGAAATCATGCGTAGAATGTTTGGACATAAGAGATAGATTTCTTGATAAGGTTGTTGACCTTCATCGATCCAGATGTCTGGGACATCTGTTATGCATGTCTATTGATCGTCTGCCTCTTGTCACAATGTTAAATGAAGCAGATTACGGCCGAAAAATGACTAGACGTAGCGCAACTGCTTTCTTGTGTGTCTTTCCCTTTAATGCATTCCTGCTTGATGTGCTGATATAAAGTATGGCAACTTGGACCGTCATTCAGTAATGCCTGGTCGTATGTTGACATTGTCAGTTAATGTGTCTATCTGATATTGTTATCATGCTCATGCTATATCTCCAAACTTTGCTGTCAATACATCAGCAGTTAGAACTATGCCAGTATTGTTATTATCCGAATTATTTCTGTCTCATTTTACTTCAGCTTATTCTATCCAAATTGTCTGGCGTATCCGGAGATAAAATGGAATTTTTAAAGCAAACTTATGCATTTTGGAAACTTAAAGAGAATTTAGACGTGGTGTACCATTGCTCAAACGACTGCAAGCCTGTTCAATACACAGAAATGCGGCTAGTTTCGTAAGTTTTATTATGATATATTGGTTTGTCTAATTTATTCATCGTAGATATATGCATTAGGTGTTTCTTTTTTAAAATACAGATTAGCATACTTTTGCTTACCGTTGAATACGTTTCAAGAGTAATTGAGATTGTATCTCTACTGGGTGTTTATTGAAGCTCAAAATGTTTAGTCCTGTGTCATCATTTATTAAACATCATTTCATAGTATTTTGAAAAATAAGATTTTAGTTTAGGTAAAATTACATTAGCGTGAAAAACTTGAAGTTCTCCTAGGTAGTGGGAAAGCTGTAACCGACTTAGATTATTCATGTTAGTTCGCTTGTTAAATAAATCAGACAGTATTATTTACCAGATAAAAGCTTGGGGGTGCACTATTTACTGCATATACTCATAAACTTTAGGGTACAAATATCACAATTAGTTTTTGTAGTTCTAGTCCCTTATCCTTATGTTTTCAAGAGCTGAACAATTTCCCACATGTTCAGGACAGGTACAGAGTCACTCTCGTTGTACTTATTAGGTTTCGATTCCAAAACAAAGATTCGATTGGCAACCTCTTTCTCCTTTCATCCAGCTAAGTGAGTTTTAACCAATGACACTTTCTTCTTTTTGTGTGGTTGTGTGTGTGATTACCTACATAGCTGTGGCTGAACTTTTCTCCGAACTCTTTTGATCTCATATCAGTTAGAAAAAAGGCTTAATAAAATGCTAGGCCAACAGAGCTAAGCAACTAATTAGCAAGACAGAAAGTTTATAATGTGAAGTATGACCTTAAGTAGCATTCTCGAATGGGATGGGATTAAGGTAGTAATTAGGTCCACATAATCATTTTGAAGAAAATGTTGTTGGTTAAAGGGTGTGGGAAATAACAGATACCTATACAGTAAGATGAAAGGAAGTGTCAATGTTTAAGACTGACTTAGCTGGATGAAAGGAGAAAAAGGTTGTTCTAGAAATCAACATCGAATAAATACAGCGAGAGTGACTCTGGATATATCTCGGACATATAGAGAATTGTATTGCCTTGAGAACGCTAGGAAAAGGGACTAGAACTGCGAAAACTAATTGCGATACTTTTAACCTAAAGTTAATAAGTATATGCAGTAAACAGTGCCTCTAGCTTTTATCTATTAAATAATATTGTCCGGTGTATATGGCAAGTAAACTAACATTAAATTACACTCTACAGCACTGCTAATGTCTTACTCTTGTATTTAAGATTTAGTTTAACATTCAATAATAATACGTAGGAATCTGCTATCTGTTTGCCTCACATAAATGACATTTAAACTCGGATTCATATTGCTTACCCTTCGTACAATTTACATTTTTGAAAACCTTTTTCAACACTATTATTTCTCCTTATTCTTTAAATGCTTCTATGACTTTCAAAATTATCTTCTAATAACTTATCTTGAAGTGATTCCTTTCAGTTTAAAAAAATTTGTTATGTAATGGCTCCTTTGTTAGGATTTGATAAGCCTAAGCACTGCAGTTCCTTGTCAAATTCCCAAATAAGGGAGACAAGCCTTTGCAAGAACTGGCGAGGAATCATGCTGCTGTCCACTCCAAGCAAAATAATATGCCGCATCATCATGGAGAGACTAGACGATTCTCTGGATTCAAAATTACGACCGAAACAGGCTAGATTCAAGAAGGACAAATCATATGCCGATCAAATTGCAACGCTACTCATCATCGTAGAACAGAGCATAGAATGGCAATCAACTCTCTACCTCAACTTCATCGACTTTGAAAAGACCTTCGACAGCGTCGATCGAGAAGTAATTTGGCAGTTGCTTCAACACTACGGCTTTAGCGTCACTAGTCTTTATCAACCTCATTCAACAGCTATATGAAAAGGCCATATGCCAAGTGATCCACAATGGAAAGCTCCGCGACACCTTTGAGGTGAAGACAGGAGTAAGACAAAGTGGCTGTCTACTATCACCCATGATCTTCCTGATTGGGGTGAACTGGATCATGCAGCAAACAGTGAGGAGCGAGAAGATGGGCATACGCTGGCTGGACCGATGAAAAGAGCCTAGAAGATTTGGATTTCGCCACCGATGCTGATTTATGTCTATTGTCTTGTGGCACAAACTCGAAGATATATAGGCGAAAACTAACAAGTTGACAGAGGAGGCGAGGCAGCAAAGACGGGACTTCAAGTGAACGTACAGAAGACAGGTGATGATGATACGATACCCAACCAACACCACCAACAACAACAAGCTCCAATCACCGTCAACGGGAGAAACTTAAAGGAAGTGGCCTCTTTCACCTATCTAGGCAGCACTGTCTCAACTACATTTTGCGGCACAGACGAGGATGTCAAAACCAGGATCGGAAAAGCAGGACAGGTTTTCACTAATCTGAAATAATCAGTTTGGAGATCTACTACACTCAGCACAAAGCATGAACAACATCCGAATTTTCAACACCAACGTCAGTCAAGTCACTGCTACTATATGATTCAGAAACTTGGTGTGTCACGAAAAGCATTTTCGACCAACTACATACAGTCATCAAAAGCTGCCTTCTCTGACTCGATACTGAAGATCAGGTGGCCAGAATAATAAGAACAAGCAACGAAGAACTCTGGCTGGTGACGAACCAACCAAGAATCTTTCACCCAACAAATATGCAGACGAAGAGAGTGGAGATGGGTTGGATTGGACATACACCGAGAAGGCCGACTGGGGACATCACGCGCCAAGCCAGGCTGTTGAGTGGAATCCAAAGGGGTAACGAGGAAGAAATGAAAGCTTGTGGGCAGTCGTGGAGCGAGGTTCAAAAGACTGCAGAGAAGAGAGTGGAATGGAGGTGTACTACTGAAGCCCTATGTTCAACTAGGAACCCAAGAAAAAAGTAATAATAAGTACTGCGCTTGTAACAGGTTAAGAGAAGTTCAATTATATCCAACACTATGAGCCTAGAACAGTTATAATGTTGAAATATAGAAGGAAACAAAGTCCGAGAAAAAAGTGGTCGTTTAATTACTTAAGCCTTGTTAAAAGGCGGCGAAGTTGCCTTATACTAAAAGGAAGGTCAATGAAATGGTGGGTACAAAGAGAACAGTATGAAATGATAATATCGCTCAAGTAAATTTCTGATATTATTACCATGTCTGAGCAACATTAAGAAATATCTTTTTCGATGTGAAATGTTTTAGGAGGAACTCAGTATGTTTGAGTTTGTATGTCTGTTTATCAGTTTAACGTGATTTGAAATGACTTCGTGTCTATCATCAAACTGGTTGTAAACAATTGCGCTATTGACTAAGTGTTATCCTCAAGTCTTGGTTTGCTTTTTAACCTACCTTAAAGTAGAAAGAAGTACTATCCTCAATTAATATACGTGTAAAACTTGGGCACTGTGGTAGAATTTAATTCCATATTAGTTTTGTTTATTTGATTTATAACACAGTAACATAGTATTATTTACCTGATGATGTTTCAAGCATAAATTATTGCCCATAATCATATCAATGTGACATTGATATGATTATGAGCAATAAAGCTTCGGCATGTTGTCAGAAGTAACGTAAAATACTATTTGTTTTTTTTTTTGAGGGAGTTGTGGGGATTTGGAAATATTTCAAGTTGCTATTCATCATAGACTGAAGTCAGTTGGAGGAACGAAGGAAACCTGGGAGAACTGGACAGCTGTTTCGTCCTAGTATGGGACTCCTTAGCAGTGCGCACCCACGACCCCTCCAGGGATCGAACCCGTGACCTTCAGGTTCCGTGGCCAGCACGTTACCATTGAGCCAGCTGATGTCAGTCTACGATGAATAACAATTTGAAATACTATTTATGTCATTAGTTGAATCTTCAATCATATTTCATAGAAATTGAATAAATAGCCATTAGAATATATAGTCACTTCTCGCACTATACTACTAATGATGAATTCATTCTTCCTCCTTCCCACCTCTCTCATGATTGCACACTTCCCTATAAGCAATTATATACGGCTCTAATACTTAAAACTCTACTGTACACTTTAGCATTAAGTTAATATTTGTTGCATTTTTCGATTTTTCATTTCTAGGCTGTTGCAGCTACAACTGGAGATGCTGAATCACAACGAATGAAAGGTCATTTAAAATTCTGGCAACAATTACGTCAAGATCTTGAAAGAGGACGTCTTCTTTCTGAGCTTACACGTAAACGTGAGCGTATTAAACGAGATATATTTCGTTTATTTGTGGCTGAAATTGAACTGAGTATCAAACCGTTAGTAATTTTTCAGTTACGATTTATCGATCAACTTCAGGTATTTGTCGACATTTATTTCGTTATTTTAGTTTATTTTTTATTTGTTAACTTCAGAGATTCATTAAAATTCACTTGTGTCAACTAATGTTGCATTGGTTTACTGATTACTTACTGTATGAGGAAATTTTATTCTTAATTTTCAAGTGCTTTTACCATAGATCATGGCATGTGCTGAAATCATTTATTGTTAATGGACCAGAAATTTTTATCATGGAACCAACTTCTTCAGTTATTTCCCCACGATACATCAAACCAAGAATAAATTCGAATTATGAGTTTGGCTATCTGAGATTATTATTATTTATGCTTTGGGTTCCTAGTGGAACGTAGGGCTTCAATAGCACGGCGCCATTTCACTGTTCTCTGCTGCCCAAAAGCTTTCATTTCTTCCTCACATGATCTCCTCCATATCACCATCGGACGCCCTATCTGTGGTGGTTTACCACACTTGCATTGAAGGTGAGATGAAATTTCGGTCTGCAGCGAGATCTGATCTAGCGGCCACTGGGTTTTCGGCCCGGTGCTCTAAAAAAGGTAGTCAGCAGTCAGATTTCGTAGCCCAGTTGGTAGAGGACACCGGGTCGGAAACCTGGTGGTCGCTGGTCTGAATGCTTCAGCAACCTAAATTTTGAATTGTCAATTATTGTCCAGGATGAGCTGTTTCTTTTCACAAAAGATCAATAAATCACGGCAGACCATAGTGGCTACTTGATTAGATTGTGGACTGAAAAGTGTGTCATGTGAATTGAGAAAGTCTTTCAAATGAATACCTATTCTCAAATATCAGTTTCACAATGGACTCATTTAAGAAAAAAACTATTTTCATTGTCAGTAGTAGTAGGAATCTGTGCATAAAGTTTAAGTGTTTAAAATGAGACAATATCACAGTATAAGGTTCTTATGAATAACACACTCATAATGGTGCAATAGCTGGAAAGGTGCATAATCAACATTCGTCTCTAAAATTAAATAACGTTTGCGAATTACAGTTAACATGTGTAATAGCCAAAGCTTTTCAACACTTCATGGGTAATTACTTTATAAAACGAGGTAAATAGGCATTAGTGTCTGCAAACACAAACATTTTAAATTATTAATCTAATGACATACACTTTTAATTGAAAAATTATTTTACTTCAGTGTTTAATTCATGTAAACAGTAACGATAATATTTCTTGAAGACTGCATTATTGTACGGCATAGAGATTATATTGTGTGGTTTATCGAGTTTTCTTTACGTTATTGTCTTCCAGTGATTACATATCTACTTCCTTGAACTGAAGTTCAACCGATGTAACATATATAAAAACTTTGTGCATGTGAACCAGCTAAAAGCAGGAAACTGAAAATCAACTCACAGAAAATGTTATGGCTTTTAAAACTTGCTAGTTTAAATGCTACCAAAGCTCAGTAATATTCTCCATCTCTATAAATCTATTGCCCAGCAAACACTATGGCATGTCAGACAGTCGGATAGACAGAATTAATACAGAACTTCGCACACAACTGCATCAGCTAAAGTCCCCACACTTAATAGCACTATCTACTGTACAACTCGATAGGAAAGACTGATATCAAAGTAGATAAAGGTATATGGCAGGAGAGGAAATTTTAAAACCACGGTTAGTCAAAACATTCAAGCTTGTCAAGACATCAAAGAGAGGATACATATACCCGATTGTGACCAATTTTGAACCATTTGACTAGGATTCTTCAAACACTGCCTGCTACCTTCTCGAGGACCTCAGCCGAGACTTCATGCACTGGTGCCACGTCTTAGTCTGGCCATTCTGAGCCTTCTCTCAACCTAATCCAACTTCCTCTAACATAGCACATCGAGGTAGGCTATGGCTCGCCATGCGTAGCACATGTCCGAGCCATCTCAGTTGTCTAACGTTTACAACCGCATTAATCGACTTGCCCGTGTTGCGAAGTATCTTTTACCTAAACTTAATATTACCCACATGGTGATTCCACTAGGCGCGAGCAATGCTACGAGGAAATCTCTCATCAAACACTTGTAACCGCCTCATGCCTTTCACTTTCAACGCCCACATGTCTCACAGCCGTACTGCATGACAGAGCAAATTGCACCACAGTACATTCGTCCTTTAACATCAAGTTGGATATCTCAGCACTCGGTGCCACAGATAACGCAAGTCGACAAATGCCGAGCCAACCTTCAGTACCTGACCTCACATTTCATCAGCGGCCAGACAGTTGGGGATGATGCAACTACTCCGGTAAGTGAAGTGTTCGTCACATTCCACCACTTCACTGCCTATCATTGTTCCAGAAGTTGTTCCAGACCAGTCCTCAAACATCATCCTACATACTCAGACTTCTTCTCAACGCACTCATAACACCCCAGATTTTGTCTGCGTCCTCACCTAGTAGGACAATATCATCTCCATACTCTGAGTCAACCAGATGACCTCCAGTGAGTAGGTCAATCCCCAGGAAGTCATGGGTACTTAAAGTTATTTCCATTGGTACATCTGTGACAAAAGTGAACAGGGACGGTGACAGTGGGCATCCCCCTGTGGTACACACCCAGTTGCCATCAATTCACATCACAACTCTCCACAAGCCCTGACACAACTACGTGAGTTTGAGCAGTGAGCTTCGATCAGAATTACATCCTTGCTCTGTATTCTCTTCACAGTCAGACACTCCCACAACACCTGATGGTCGATAAAGTCGAATGCCACCTTCAGGTCGAGAAATATGTCAGGTGTCGGTTGGTCAGAAACTATGCCTGTGTTCCACCACCTGTAGGTTGCCTGGGGGTGGGGAAGGTGAAAATATGATTAGTGAACCCTCACGTTCAGGTTTGAAACTTACCTGACTTTCTTGCACTTACTCTTCTCGCGCTCCACTTAAGTGTCGGATAACTATCATCTCAAGGATATTCGACACGATATTACTTAAACTGATTCCCTCACGCTCGTCCCTTCCCATAGACTACTAGGATGATCAGTGAAGTAGACCAGTCTGACAGCACTACCTCTGATTCTCATGCACTGTCTAGTATACCCCGTCACTTAACTTGGCAATCTCCTTCCTCCACCCTTGAGAAATTCAAGTGACAAACTGTCAGATCATGACATGATGCTTGGCCCCGTTTTAGGTTCAAATCACTCTCTTCAACTCCAAGGAGAGTTGAGGGACCGAAAACTACATCTCATTCAGGTTTGGGGTGGATGCTGTCAACTGAAGTGTTGTTGTGGGCCAGTGGAATCGTGCTTCAAAGTGTTCTGTCCAACGTTCTAGAGGTCTGTCCTGGGAGGTTACCAATGTCCCATACTTGTCGGTGACGGTTTCACTAATCATCGTCTTTTTCTTTTTCTTGTCGGTATCATTAATAAACCTAAATAGATGACGATTGTTACTCACTGTTGATGCTCTCCCCATCTTTCTCACTCGTGCCACTCACTACTGCTGGAAATCATTGCGAAGACTTTTGGTGAGAGTAAGCTGGATTAAGCCTTCTTGAACCAGTCAGTTTGGTTGACGTTGCGAATATCCGATGGCTTTTGCTAATCTTCAGGGTAGGTTACCAACTGTCTTACCGCTGTTCTTAAATCAGACTTAATGTCATGCCAGGTTTCCTCAGCATGAGCATTACTGTCACGTTTAGATAGATGTTTACCTATCGTCTCCTTAAATGCGCACTTGACGTTCTTATCTTCCAATCGATCACAGGCAGGTTTCGCTGTCACCTGTATCCTGCAACCATTAAGGCACAGACATGCACCAGCCCGTACTCGAGCTGAATCGGAGTCCAAACTAGTACTCCAGAAAGAGCAACTATCTTCCTCCGATCCTCTACAAGGATGGCTGATAGAAGTATAATCTATTTGTATCCATTGTTAGTTTAATGCTGGTGGACTCCATATGAGACAGTATCTCTCCTTGTGCTTGAAGCTAGTGGAGGTCAGAAACCCGTTGATTGTCAGAATAAAATTGTTGGCATGGGATTTCGTAGGTACCTCCGAGATGTCTTTTTGATTGGCTCAGCTTCTACAGTTGTGCGTTAATACACCTGCTGTTAAGACTTTATCTCAACGTTTTGCTTCCTGTGGCAAAATTGACAGCTTTTCATAGAATTCATCCTTTTGTATTATTCAGGCTGAAGTCAGCGGGGGCGTAAGCTTAGGTGACGAATAGGCATCACACATAAACAATATGATATGTAATTCACTTGGGTAGGTGGGTCTGTGTGAATTGATTGATATCACAGTATTTTTCATCATGAATCGATGTCAGTTGGAGTTCAGGACCATCAGGTCTCGTGGGAATTACTTTACCACTAGTCGAGTGGTTTTAAGTCACTGGTCCCCTTTTTTCTGCTTCTGTAAATTCACGATATAAAGCGAATATTATTCATTATCTCCGATGGATATTTCTTTTATCTTCCACTTTGGTTCACACTGCCGATCAAGGTTTCCAATTAGAATTTCGGGAAATCTGCTGATAAGCAGTGATTTGTAATTAGGAAGTCAGATAATATATCTTCACCATTTATATCTCCATAATCTCTAGGATCATTCATATTTTCAGTCATTATGTGTATTGTAATGCATTACGACCATTATTATTACTAGAAATAATTATTTTCGTTTATTTGTGAAGGCATTGGATACAAATCAGTTTTTCGCTGAACCTGTTCATCCAAGTTTAGCACCAGATTATGCATTAATCATCAAAAAGCCTATGGATTTTTCTACAATGCGTAAAAAGATTGAGAACTTTGAATATTCCACAATGGAAGCCTTATTATTGGATTTTGATTTGATGTTAGACAATTGCTTTGAATATAACCGAGAGACTAGTATTTACTGTATATCCGCTTTAAAAATACGTGAACAGGTTTGTGCAATAAATTATTTTGAACTTTATTTTCACACAGTTATTCGCTTCAGATATTATAGTGATCTATGTAACTGTTCCACAAACGTTTATGTTAAAAAGTTGCGAAACTTATTACTGTTCGTAGATTGTACGAGGAAAAGTTTAAAAGTTATTTATTTTTTCTTCGCTTTCACTGAAAGATTTTAATCATTCTCAGGATTTACTTTCCACACTAGGTGTTATGATAATTCAGTTGGTTGTGGCTAGCAGAAGAATCCAGGACGCGCATCTCGTCCTACTTGGGACTCGTCAGTTGGATGTACCTGCACCCATCGCTTCAAACGCCAGGGCGTTATCCACTATGCCACAGAGGAACGATAGCCACTTCTTGTACCGCAGGTGATAGTTATTACTACTTATTGACATACTTGTTATTCTCCGTTGTTTTGTTGGATCGAATTGTTCGACCTCTATTGGCATATGGGCTCCTATGCGGATGCCGCGATATTGCCTGAATGTTAATAATGATGATTTGGTTGGTTGTGGCTAGCAGAAGAATCCAGGACGCACGTTACGGGGTACGAGGTTCGAGTCTCAGTGGGAACATCACTGAGGTGCAGGTACATCTAGCTGACGAGTCGTAAATAGGACGAAACACGCGTCCTGGATTCTTCTGCTAGCCGCAACCAACCAAATTATCATAATTAACATCCAGGCGATATCGAAGCATCCGCTTAGGAGTTCATATGCCAATAGAGGTCGAACAATTCTGTCCAATAAAAACAACGGAGAATAACAAGTATGTCAATAAATGGTAATAACTAGGTGTTGTTTCTGTGGTTTGGTAAGCTTGAGCTTATGTTATTCAAATGGCTTCCAAATATCAAAATTGACTGATATTATCTAAAAGTCTATTCACAGATATAACTTTCCATTCTCTGTGGATATTGTAACCTATAGTTCCCTATTCAGAACTGCGCTTCATTGATTTGAACATTGAAATTTTTAACTGAGCCTCCACCTTTATATACCGTAGGTATAATCAACTAGATAGTATTATTGACACTCAGACAATAGACCACGTTATTGAATTCACAAAATTTTATGTGTTTGCAAAGTTGAAATTATTCATACACTTAATAATAGTTTTTAAGCAGTTGAACTGGCTTATGAATCTACTTTTTATCATACTTAAATATGAAACCCACTTTCCTTATTTTAAAGTCTATGAAACTTATATTTTCATTCTTCAAAGTTTATCTGAATCTCGTAACCTTTCTCCGGAATTCTTTCTTGAAACTTTAAACTACTAACTGGTTAACAGAAAGTTATTAAAACTGCTTGTATAATATAAAGATTATTCAGCTTTTTAACTGGGAGTTGTTAAGAGAAAATTTCAGATATCCTTTTTATGTTCAACTCAAAATTGTCATCCCCATTATTATTGCTGCCATTATTATTATTATTATTATTATTATTATTATTATTATTATTATTATTATTGGGGATTAATTGTGAAAAGAGCTTCAGTGCATACACTTTATAGTAAATTGACAGCAAATAAGTCAAGTTTGATGGGATTTCACTTTCTAACCCTGTACTTGCATATATTGTCTATTAAGGGTCGCGTGTACTGCACAGCAATCCAGTCTGTTCTGCTGTATGGATGTGAAACATGACCATTGAAAGTGGAAAATATAAAAAGGCTTCAAGTGTTTGACCACCGTTGCCTTTGTAGTATAGGCCGCCGTATTCCGTGGTGTCACCACGTGACTAATGCAGGCGTCAGGTATAGAGTTTTAGGGAGTAGGGGTAAGTCAGTTGACGAGGTTATGAACCTTCATCGACTGAGATGGTTGGGACATGTGTTACGTATGCCTAGTCACCGATTGCCTCGTCACACAATGTTGGCTGAAGTAGGTCCAGACTGACAAAAAGGCCCGAGGTGGTTTGGGTTGGTGGGACAAGAGGAACCAGTGGTTGGAGACTGACTCTAGGTAATGGCATGGCTGAGAACCGGTGTCAGTGGGGCAGATGTATACACATATTATCCTTACCTTAACGACGCTATACCGAATCTCACCATTTGGTCATTCCTCTTTTCGTACTTCTCGTACTTTATATTTCTTTTGACTGCATTCTCTTATCTTCATCCTTCACCTCACTACCTTTCTACTTGATGAAATGCCGTGAGGTGTGGCAACTCGGACTGTTACGCAGTAATTTCTGCGTATGTTGTCCTATGTTGATATTGATTGATTGGTGATATATTGTTCCTGTAGTTTTAAGGGAGAAAACTTCATCAAATCAGTCATATTTGTAGGCCACTTCTCACTTCCCATTTGTTGTGATGACCACTATTTCATTCAGAGTTCTGTTGATGGATAAATAATTTATTTTAGCTTTTACTTACCTTTTGTTTAATTGTTGAAATTCTTAGAGCGAATAGTTCAGTGAAGGAAATTCTTTTGAATGATGTTTAGTTGAACCATTGAAAAGAATTTTTTTCGCTATACTATTTGTTTTGTGACTTTTTGACTGCCTTGGAAATTGGTAAACTAGTGTTAAATAGAGTGTACATAGATCATAGAAAAATGAGTAATTTTAGAGAGAAAAAAATTGTGGCTAGTGTATGTCATCATTATCCCCTCCAATTATCCTGAAGGTTTATCAAAAAGGCGATAAGTATTTCACTAGTTTTTTCAATAACTTGATCTGTTGTTGTACACCAGTTCAATTGCTTCCTGTTGAGAATATATATACTTACGGGAATTGGAACACCAAAGCCATTATTGTGGAAAATTTTTCTTACCGCTAGTTTAGTGTTCTCTGAGCTTTGATATCCGATCTTGTTTTTGCGGTAACATAATCAGTATTAACTTCATCAAGAACTTGGTTGATCGTACAGCTTGTATTCGAAAACAGCTTTTCTTCTCATAGATGTCACCTACATAAAATCTTGCCATAAAGTGATATATATATACCAAATATTAGTCTTCCTGATGAATGAAAGAGATCACCCCAAAAACAGGGAGGAAAACTTTACCCTTACTGGTCGCAGTTATGTACAACAGACTCATCAAATTTAAGAGCGTAGTCGCAATTAATCCATAAACCCTTCAGCTTCTTAATGAAGCGGAAGCTGACGATGTTCATCAGTCTAATGATCAGACATTCACAATCTAAAATCAAAGCTAAGAAAACGCCAAAGTATTGCCAACTTCATCTTCAGCTGCGAATCTTCTTTATTTTCTCAAAATATTTTCTTTGCTTTTTTGTGAAAGAAAAAGAGAGTGATTTACATTTTTATTGCGCAATATTCTCACTTATTTTTTCAGAGTAAACCAATTATATCTGAAGCCTTAGCAACAGCGAAGCAAATCAGTTTCTGCCCGAAAACAGGACTTCTTCTAGATAATGTACGTGTAAATAGTGAAGTTGCTGAGCAATCTTTTCATCAAGATAATATTGAAAATTCATCCTCAAAAGCAAACGAAAACTGTTCACAGTCTATTCTTTTAACCAATCAAGGCTATGATTATAGGAAAAAATCAACGAACTCTCCAGCTTCATTTCATTTATCGTCTTCACAAAGATCATCTAAATGTTCATTGGTGAATGAAAGAGTGCATAGTCCTCTCAAAGAACTAGTGAATTGTGATCAAACGTCTTCAGTTCCTGGTAGTATACGAAGTCGATTAAGAAGTTTTCATTCACCACCCACAACTCCGTCACCAATATCAACAGTAGCAACAACAACACCGCATACATCACCTCTACCTATTACTTCAAATGGAAATTCTATATATGTTTCATTTAATTGTGAAAAAAATATGAACTCATCACTTCTACCTCGAAAACGCCGGTATGTCCAATTAAAAGTTTGCTTTTTTGTTTTGATTACATATTCATCTGACAATGGTGCTACATTGTTTTGCGAATCAGTAGAAATGGTCTTTATGCTTAGGTTTGTTGTTGGTAACGACACCTGATTGCAATTCCTTATATATATTAATTCTTAATCGGTATTCATCACAGCCTGACCAGTGGTGCCATATCAAGTCTGACGTGAGGACGGCTACTCAACAACATCATTGGATAGACATCGTGCTGTATCGTTAACTTAAAGAAGTAGGAAAATGTTAACCATTAGATTTCGATCGGATGGCTCAATGATAACGTGCTCGCCGTTGAACATGAACATCCTGCGTCCAGTCCCTGGGGGGATCACAGGTGCACGCTGCTAATGAGTGCCATACTAGGATAAAACAGCTACCTACTGCTCCTAGGTTTTCAGTGGTTCTCCAACTCATGTCAGTTTGTGATGAATATCAACTTGAAATCAATAATTTCCTACAAACTTCCAGCAAAACACCAAACTGGATATATATATACATTGGCTCAAATCCGTATTGGTTGACGAAGGAGATAATTGATGGCAAACCTGTTACACCGATTCGAAAGGACACACTTTCGTTATCAGTAGTGTAGATGTTGAAACAGGGAAAGAGAGTGTGTACGTGTAAATGCATTTTCCCAAACTTTCAACGCCTCATTGATGGTATGAATGAGAAGGTTCTTACATAATTTAACAATCAGAATCTCGCAAACTACAAGGATCAGCCACTTTTGGTACATCTAAATAATGTAAAATGTGCTTTTAAAAAATAAATATAGACTATTGCACACTTATGAAATCAATTGCACATATAATTCCCGTGTTCATTATATTCATTATGGATTGGTGAAGAGATGACCCCTCTGTTTGGAGTACTAGTTTGGACTTCGATCACACGCAAGTAAGGGCTCGCGTATGTCTGCGCCTTAAAGGTTACAGTAAATAGGTGGAAGTGAAGCCTGTCTGTGTTCGGTTCAAAAACGAGAACGTCAAGTGTGTATTTAGGGACGTCAGCAATCCTCATCATGAGCAGACGTGGCGTGATATTAAGTCTGCTGTAGAAACCACGGTGAAAACTGTTGGTGACCTATACCCGAAGGTTAACAAACGTCACTGGAGTTTCACAACATCATTCGAATTGTTTTGATGCTTGTAATTCCCCGTTGCTCAAGAAGTGGCTATCGTACCGCAGTGCCTTATTGGGTAACTCTTTGGCATTTGAAGAGATGGGTACTGGGTTTGAGTCTCCGTTGGAACAACACTCACTGGGGTGCAAATAAATCCAACTGACCAGTCCAAATATGGCGGAACACGCGTCCTGACTTCCACTGTTAGTCACCAAGATGAATATGTCAGCCGAGCTACTTGGTGCAATAAGAGTGATTCCATCCGGCTGTGACCACGATGAACAGCGAAAGCAACTTAGGGGTAAACTGACTACGTGTTTTCGTGGTGATCGCTAGAACTGGGGGATGGCGAGAGCAAGACAGATGGAGAGAGCATCAACAGTGAGTAACAATCGTCATCTATTTAGGTTTATTAATGATACCGACAAGAAAAGAAAAAGACGATGATTAGTGAAACCGTCACCGACAAGTATGGGACATTGGTAACCTCCCAGGACAGACCTCTAGAACGTTGGACAGAACACTTTGAAGCACGATTCCACTGGCCCACAACAACACTTCAGTTGACAGCATCCACCCCAAACCTGAATGAGATGTAGTTTTCGGTCCCTCAACTCTCCTTGAAGTTGAAGAGAGTGATTTGAACCTAAAACGGGGCCAAGCATCATGTCATGATCTGACAGTTTGTCACTTGAATTTCTCAAGGGTGGAGGAAGGAGATTGCCAAGTTAAGTGACGGGGTATACTAGACAGTGCATGAGAATCAGAGGTAGTGCTGTCAGACTGGTCTACTTCACTGATCATCCTAGTAGTCTATGGGAAGGGACGAGCGTGAGGGAATCAGTTTAAGTAATATCGTGTCGAATATCCTTGAGATGATAGTTATCCGACACTTAAGTGGAGCGCGAGAAGAGTAAGTGCAAGAAAGTCAGGTAAGTTTCAAACCTGAACGTGAGGGTTCACTAATCATATTTTCACCTTCCCCACCCCCCAGGCAACCTACAGGTGGTGGAACACAGGCATAGTTTCTGACCAACCGACACCTGACATATTTCTCGACCTCAAGGTGGCATTCGACTTTATCGACCATCAGGTGTTGTGGGAGTGTCTGACTGTGAAGAGAGTACAGAGCAAGGATGTAATTCTGATCGAAGCTCACTGCTCAAACTCACGTAGTTGTGTCAGGGCTTGTGGAGAGTTGTGATGTGAATTGATGGCAACTGGGTGTGTACCACAGGGGGATGCCCACTGTCACCGTCCCTGTTCACTTTTGTCACAGATGTACCAATGGAAATAACTTTAAGTACCCATGACTTCCTGGGGATTGACCTACTCACTGGAGGTCATCTGGTTGACTCAGAGTATGGAGATGATATTGTCCTACTAGGTGAGGACGCAGACAAAATCTGGGGTGTTATGAGTGCGTTGAGAAGAAGTCTGAGTATGTAGGATGATGTTTGAGGACTGGTCTGGAACAACTTCTGGAACAATGATAGGCAGTGAAGTGGTGGAATGTGACGAACACTTCACTTACCGGAGTAGTTGCATCATCCCCAACTGTCTGGCCGCTGATGAAATGTGAGGTCAGGTACTGAAGGTTGGCTCGGCATTTGTCGACTTGCGTTATCTGTGGCACCGAGTGCTGAGATATCCAACTTGATGTTAAAGGACGAATGTACTGTGGTGCAATTTGCTCTGTCATGCAGTACGTCTGTGAGACATGTGGGCGTTGAAAGTGAAAGGCATGAGGCGGTTACAAGTGTTTGATGAAAGATTTCCTCGTAGCATTGCTCGCACCTAGTGGAATCACCATGTGGGTAATATTAAGTTTAGGTAAAAGATACTTCGCAACACAGGCAAGTCGATTAATGAGGTTGTAAACGTTGGACATCTGAGATGGCTCGGACATGTGCTAGGCATGGCGAGCCATAGCCTACCTCGATGTGCTATGTTAGAGGAAGTTGGATTAGGTTGAGAGAAGGCTCAGAATCATCATCATTATTATCAACATAGGACCAGGCATTACTGCGTAACGGTCCGAGTTTCCACACCTCACGGCATTTCATCAAGTAAAAAGGTAGTGAGGTGAAGGATGAAGATAAGTGAATGCAGTCAAAAGAAATATAAAGTACGAGAAGAAAGGAAAGAGGAGTGACAAAATAGTGAGATTCGGTATAGCGTTGTTAAGATGAGGATAATGTGTGTATACATCTGCGCCACTGACTTCGGTTCTGAGCCATATCACCTAGGGTCTCCAACCACTGGTTCCTCTTGTCCCGTGGACCCCAACCACCTAGTCTGCATCGTCCTACATGGCTTAAACCAACAGTCAGAGACTTCATACATTGGTGCCATGTTTTAGTCTGGCCACCTCGGGCCTTTTTCCAGCCTGAACCCACCTCAGCCAACATTGTGTGACGAGGCAATCGGTGACTAGGCATACGTAGTACGTGTCCCAACCATCTCAGTCGATGAAGGTTCACAACCTCGTCGACTGACTTACCTCTTCTCCCTAAAACTCTACACCTAACTTCTGCATTACTCACATGGTGACACCACGGAATACGTCCTATACTACGAAGGCAACGGTGGTCAAACACCTGAAGCCTTTTTATATCTTCCACTTTCAATGGCCATGTTTCACAGCCATACAGTAGAACAGAGCGGACTGCTGTGCAGTACACGCGACCCTTAATAGACAAACGAATATCACGGCGGCGCCATAGGTGGCGCAAATTGGCAAAAGCCAATCGAGCCTTTTGTATCCGTGCAGAAATCTCATCGGCAACTAACCCACCAGGGTTGATCCTACTTCCCAGGTAAGTGAAGTGGTCAACACACTCAACCACTTCACTCTCTATTGTTAACCGCGGTACCGCTGAAGACCAGTCCTGGAGCAAAAATTTGCATTTGGGTGGTGAAAATCGCATCCCAAACATTCTCAAATTCCCACTCAAAGTGTTCAGAAGACTCTGCATCTTGTCAGCGTCTTCACCTAACAGGACTATGTCATCTGCATATTCTAGATCTAAGGAAAATTCACCTGTGATCGGGTCAACGTCTTTGTAATTAGGTGACGAGAGGGAAACCTCCATAAGAATATCTATGATAAAATTAAATAAGAATGGGGATAGTGGGCATCCTTGACGGACACCACTTGATGAGTATAGCTCCCTGGACAACTCACCATAGGCTCTAACATGCCCACAAGTGTTCGAGTAGAGAGCTTTCAATAAGGTGATGTACTTACTAGGCACGCCTTTCAGTGACAGACACTGCCATAAGACTTCTCGATCAACGGAGTCAAATGCCGCCTTCAGGTCGAGAAATACAGCTATTGTCGGGCGTCTGTAAGCATGCCTATGTTCCAGGACCTGGCGCAGTGTGAATATTTGGTCGATACATCCACGGCCAGGTCTAAAGCCTGCCTGGTTTTCTCGGGCTTGCTGTTCCCGAGCTCCACTCAGGCGTCGGAGAATTATAGAACTTAGGATCTTAGACACTATGTTTGTCAGGCTGATTCCTCTGTGGTTATCACAAGAGGACTTCTCGCCTTTCTTGAAGACTGGGATGATGAGTGACTTAGACCAGTCGGAGGGGATCGTATTTGATTCCCATATACTGGCTAACACTTCCGTTAGCCTGACTAAGAGAACTCTACCACCATTCTTGTATACCTCAGCAGGTAGTCCGTCTGGTCCTGCTGCCCTTCCCCGTTTCAGGCTACCTACCGCTTTCTCAACTTCTTCTAGTGTTGGGGGACCTGTCTCTATGTCCCATTCAGGGTCCGACTGGATAGCGGGCAGCGCAATGGTGGCTGGAGGCCAGTTAAACTGTTCCTCAAAGTGTTCTGCCCATCGTCCCAGTCGCCTTCCCTGCGAGTGAATCGCCGATCCGTCCTTCTCCGCTATAACCTCACTAACTGTTGTTGACCATTTCCCCCCAGTCTCCTTAATAAGTCTAAATAACTGTCTACTGTTACCGATCGCCGCTGCCTTTTCCATCTCTTTAGCCTTTGCTGCCCACCACTGTTCACGATCGTTGCGCAGACTTTTCGTCAGTTTATTTTTAAGTTGCGCTCGCTCTTCATTGTACTCAGAGCCTGCAGGGATGCATTCACGTGCATCCATTAGTTTGGAAGAAGCTGCTGATATCCACTGGCTCTTTTTAGCCATTATCTTGGAGTCGGCTACAGTCTCCAGTGCTGCTTTTACAGTAGACTGAAGATGGCACCAAGCTTCTTCTGGATGAGTGACAGTCTTTTGTTCCGATAACTGCCTAGCCAACTTCTCACTGAACACGGCTTTGGTGTTTTCGTTGTCCAGCAGAACTCGTAGTGGTTTTGTTGCCAAATTTTTTCTACGTCCATTGAGACGCAGGCATATACGTGCTCGGACCAACGCATGATCGCTGTCCAAACACGTACTCCAGAAGGAGCGGCAGTCTTCCACCGATCCTCTCCAGCGATGACTAATAGCAATGTGGTCTATCTGTGTCCATCGCTGAGTCGAGCTCGGTGGACGCCAGGTCAGACAGTGCCTTTCTTTATGTCTGAAATTTGTGCTGGCTAAAAATAGGCGGTTATCTGAGCATAGTTGTAATAGGCGATCACCGTTATCTGTACGTTCAGCTGGGATTCCGAAAGTGCCACCTAAGTGCCTTTCTGCCTCACTCAGTCTACCCACCTGTGCGTTGAGGTCACCTGCAACAACCACTACGTCCGAACGTTTGGCTTTCGAGAGGAGGTTAGACAGTTTATGGTAGAACTCGTCCTTCACTTCATCCGAACTACAGTCAGTGGGTGCGTAAGCAGAGATTACAAAGAGACAACGGCGAGTCTCACTATTCCTTTTAGTTCTCACTGTGCCGTTCAGCCTCATAGCGCAGAGGCGACTATCAACTGGGATCCAGTCTAGTAGTGAGTTTTCTGCCCTGGTGCTTAATGCTATACCTACACCTGCAAGACCACGAGAGCTAGCTATCGAATCTCCAGAAACTCGAAGGGTGAATTTTGCAGATTCACCAGATTGGTCAGGAGAGGTCAGGTGAATAACCACACTTGGGTCCTGTATGCGTGTCTCACAAACACAGCACACATCCATGCCCGAGTTGCTAGAGTCTTTGCCAACGAAGCCTGTTGGCCAATTTGACGGAGGGTGCGGACATTGAAGGCTCCAATATGTAATTTGGAGCGTGGTTTAAGGAGACCAGGGATGCTGTTCTGTGGACTCAGATCGTTGTCGAAGGCTGCAGAGGTAGGAGAAATTGAAGATGATGCAGCATCATTAATTAAGAGACGTGAAGGAAGATTAGAAGGTAATGATGGAGGAGGAGGATAGCAGTCAGAAGAAACTTGGGTGCTGACAGAGTTGTGAGGGCGGTTGACACTTCCCGGCTGCCCACACCGTGGAAGGCTATTTCTTCTTAAGGTACCTGAAAGAGATTTGTGTGACCGCAGAGCCCATCGGACATCTGCTTGAGGCCTGTCACACGAAGCCTTTTGAGTATGATTATTTTGAACTTTTGTAGGCTCAGAATGGCCAGACTAAGACGTGGCACCAGTGCATGAAGTCTCGGCTGAGGTCCTCGAGAAGGTAGCAGGCAGTGTTTGAAGAATCCTAGTCAAATGGTTCAAAATTGGTCACAATCGGGTATATGTATCCTCTCTTTGATGTCTTGACAAGCTTGAATGTTTTGACTAACTGTGGTTTTAAAATTTCCTCTCCTCCCATATACCTTTATCTACTTTGATATCAGTCTTTCCTATCGAGTTGTACAGTAGATAGTGCTATGAAGTGTGGGGACTTTAGCTGATGCAGTTGTGTGCTAGGTTCTACGTTGTTTTTCTGTCTGTTTATCTGCCTCAGGAACTAAATCATCAAGTCTCTTAGTGATGGCATTCAACGGGCCGCTTACTTTTACTATCCTCAGCGTATATATCTGTTTGCAATTATAATTTGTCTTTCTGAGACCGTTAGACTTTCGTCTATGCTGTCAGTTTTTGATGGTTTTTAAATTTCTGGTTTTTCCTTTGCATTAAACTACAATGCTTTTGTTACTGTTGGTTTTAACGATGTTAGTCAGAAATTTATCATTCAATTTAGGGTATTTTCGTCTTTTTTCTTTCGACCATGAAAATATACAGTAATGATGAAGTATGAGAGACGTTGGGGGTGGGGTATTAAAGTGGTGCCTAAAATTTGGTGTGAAATCTCATTTTTGCAGTATAAACTGACTTACTGTATGTTTACTGAAAGATCATCGAATATTTTCTCGGTATAAATTTATATAATTTAATAATTCCCATTGTAACATTAAGAACAAGATATTCAGCGAAGAGACTCTTTTCAACGAATTTATTTTCAAGCTGTACAATCGTATATATATGGTATTTGGAAAAAATTATATCCTGTGAGGAAAACTAAACACTATACGGTGATGACAGTAATAATAGAGCGGGTGATGACATAGGCATTTATGATTATAATAACAATTGAAGTGCGAATGATAACAAATAGATTATGTAATATATGGAATGGTACATAGAGAGTATATAACTCAGAAGGAGGTGAAAAAATTATTGAAAATGGTAAATCAATTAAGTATTATGTAATGGCATTAGACAAATTGGACAAGATGAAGTCAATGTTTTCTAAAAGGATTAGGACAATTAAGTGAAATAACACCGGAAACTAGTTGAAGTGAAGGCGATTATAATAACAATAATAGTGATAAAGGAAGGATACAAAGGTTAGAGAAGGCTAGAGAATGCTTTCTACACGTATACGAGAACATGTTCCTGCTTGGTTTTATAAAGGTGAAAGAAAGTCTGTTAGAAGTTCGATTCTAGAACATTTGATTGACTTCCATCACACAACAAATCCAGACGATGACTTTGAAATTATTTATCGAATTCGCCCAAACCTCCCACGTTCTCTTCGTTTTCAACTCCTTAAAACAGCGGAGGCTTTAGCTATTCATGAACTAAGACCTGATCTGTGTGTACAAAAGAAGTATGTGCAGTCACTGTCTTTATCATGGCCATAACATTTTCCCACCCCATTAGCTCCCCCTCCCACTTTGTTAATTTAACCTTTGTATCCTTCCTTTATCACTATTATTGTTATTATAATCGCCTTCACTTCAACTAGTTTCCGGTGTTATTTCACTTAATTGTCCTAATCCTTTTAGAAAACATTGATTTCATCTTGTCCAACTTGTCTGATACCATTACATAATACTTAATTGATTTACCATTTTCAATAATTTTTTCACCTCCTTCTGAGTTATATACTCTCTATGTACCATTCCATATATTACATAATCTATTTGTTATCATTCGCACTTCAATTGTTATTATAATCATAAATGCCTATGTCATCACCCGCTCTATTATTACTGTCATCACCGTATAGTGTTTAGTTTTCCTCACAGGATATAATTTTTTCCAAATACCATATATATACGATTGTACAGCTTGAAAATAAATTCGTTGAAAAGAGTCTCTTCGCTGAATATCTTGTTCTTAATAAATTTATATTCCTGCATTTTTTTCTATCCAGTGTTGAGAATCATATTATCTCGAAGATATTATTAGGTACTTTCTTAAAAGACAGTAAAGTTCGTTAACTTCAGCAACTAGTTAAGCTCAAAAACTATGACTCAGCAACCGAAAAAAATTGTGGTGCTTCCTACTTTTATATTTCAACTAGTAGTATGTTACATAAGTATTGTAAGTGGGCTTTGTTTAACTCCAGTCATTTTAGTTTATATAGGCAACTTGACATGGTAGATTATTCAGTCAAACTTCAATCATTTTAGTGTTTACTGTTTTTAATCTAGTTACTCTTCAACCAGTGGGGACAGAAAATTTCAATTCTCTCCTACTTTATTCACTGGAGATGGTCGAAAATCTACAAAAATGGCACGAATGCAAATCAACTCTCCTGGAAATGCTTTTGCACAAGCATACGCTAATTCAGCAAACTGTTTTGAAAATCTGGTTAGATCACCTAAACTCAACGAAGGTGTTAATTGTAAATTGAATCATTCCAGTCTTTCAACTGATGACAACTCTACTTGTTTCTTAAGTCGTCAAGTTGGGATTAGTCGAGCTACAAATGAGCTGAATGGATTAATAACTTCGCGTAATGGACCTGCATTTACTCGTTATCGAACTGGTCGTTTATCACGTGGTGATGACGAAGATGAAGAAGATGACAGTGAGGAAACTGATGAAGATGAAAGTGATGATGCATGTATTACTTATTCAAACATCCATGTATCTTCTGCTAATTCACATCATGAATCCGAACGTTCTAACTACAAACAACAACGCTCAAAACAGGATACAGAAGTGGAATCTGTGACAAAATCTACAGTTACTACCACAAAGGTAACAACAACTGTGGTTGGTGCCAGTCGAATGGCTTTCGCTCACAAACGTGCTACTGTCAATCGACTGGTAAGTGACGTCATAAAAATCTAAGGCATAATTCGTTTCCTTTTTTGAAAACAATGGTGTTTAATTTAAACTAATATATATATATATATATATATATATATATATATATATATATATATATGTATATATATATATATATATATATATATATATATATATATCCATTGCTTTCCATAGCTTTAACCTATTAGTAAATATATATAACAAGCAACGAATGTGAACAAAGCAGGATTTAATGAATTCATAACTTTCAGTAGTACTCGTCAGCTGAATGCTCTACATACTTGATTACATATACCGTTAAACAATGGAAAAGAATTTATACTGGGTGATGATTGAAGGTAATCGCTGGTTCGAACCCGACCGCAGTTCAGATTTTCTTCTCACCTTCAATCATCACCCTGTATAAATACTAGTCTGCCAAACTGCGGCTATCTCAGATAATCAAGTGATAATGGGAAAGAATACACACATATAACGTAGACTGAGACAGATTTTGGAGTAACAACATAGAAGTGAACAGTTTTTTAACGGGTCAAATAGTAATACAAAGGGTAGAAATGGATATTCAAAACTGAATGGATTAGGGATAAGTTAACTGAGTTTGGATAATAGTGGATTTCAGGTAGGAAAATAATTATAATCCACTGGATGATCTAGTGAAATTGAGATATAGGGTAGCTAAACACCATATACACAAAGAATTCTTAAACGAATGTCTACAGTCAAACATATTTCCTCGAGCGTACTTTAAATCTCTAAGGAAAGACAATTTGAGACCCATAAGACCTAATCTATCCCGCCTAACTGAGTTACATATGTGATCCGCAACAGATGAAATCAATAATTTGCGTTTAAGGATTAGAAAATTGCTAAATATCCAAAATGATCTACCATTCATATGTTATCCTGAATTTCAAAAATATCTGCACATACTATTAGAAAGGGTGAGAGAAACTGAGAAGAGAACTTTACGAAAATCATTATTTCCTGATCCTTCAAATGATATATTTCCATACAATCCTGCAGATTACTTTCACAATTTCTCTGACTATGGGATTTAAATTCTATGTGCTGGCAAAGAATATACGAAAAATCGAAGTTGAAGCCCCGTTTAAAAACTTATGTAACCAACTCAGGAGTCTTCGTGCTACTTCGAACGACAGTGAAAGTTGATTCAAATCTAAAATAGTAGATGTTTCACACCAATTTCGAACAACGCATTCTAGCCAAAAAGGAATTATTCCTAAAGAACACTGGAGGTCCTTACGTGAACTTTGTGAAAACAAGGATATCGTTATTCTGAGTTCTGATAAGGGAGAATGTGTAACAGATGTTGTTACAAATGATGCACGAAATTCTCTCTGACAACTCGAAATTTATGTTGGATAGTAATGCTAAAAACCAAACATCATATATTGAGATGCAGATGGTACAACAACTAAAGCATCTCCTCAAGGCTAAATACATAGATGAAATCACAGTTATGCGGAATTCTCTAACCATTGAGCAAATGTTTGAGAGAACACACTTTCTGATACCTTCCAGTTTGTTCAAAACCCTGCGGATTTCAATAGCACTGTTGTTTCTTTTGATGTTGTATCTCTTTACAAATGTACCAGTTGACGAAACCAGTGAGTTTATCTGTCGAGAAGCTGGTAATATCCCTATCTCAACAAACGGGTTGAGGAAGCTTCTAAATCTATGCACCAAGAACATTCAATTCAACGGACAGTTATTCCACCAAACTGATGGAGTTGCAATGGGAAGCCCTCTGGGTCCTCTTTCCGCTGATTTATTCTTATCAAGTCTGGAAAATAGTAGCTTGGAGTGCCTGATTGGTCAGACGGAACTGTACCAGCGCTATATGGACGATATATTCATTGTATGTGATAGCGAAGTGGAGGTGGAAGCGCTACTAAAGAGCTTCAATTCATGTCACCCAAACCTGACCTTTACGACTGAGCACGAGGGAAATAATATGATTAGTTTCTAAGATGTTTCATTAGTGAAAAAATCGATGGATCTATCGAAAGGTCCATCTATAGGAAACTTCCATGGACAGTACAGTACCTTCATTCTAGGGGCTTTGTCCCGATCCAAAGTGAATGTATTGAGAACGCTGCTTAACAGAGCCAAGAAATTTGTTCTGATAGCACTTTGAGAAACGTGCTAGTGAAGAATGGATACCCAGAAAGCTTTATCAACAAGCACGCAAAATGGGTAGGGAGCAGAACAACGTTCCCAACAGTGCAGGTGGCCTGCTTGAACTCTGGGCTACCTTTTTTTTATCACGGAATATATTGCATCGAATTTCTCCTTTCTATATTGCTTTAATCGTTCAACTATGTCAGCCAATCGTATTGTATATTCTCGCACGTTTTGAAAATCATTAAAACCTATCGCTTTACAAGTTGATAGGAAAATCAAGAAACACCACGGTGGATGGAAACGGGGTCTCAAGCTTATGACCATAGATCAATCGACTATTCTGGAAGTACTTAGCACAAACTGCAGGTCGTTACCGAATAAAGTTGATTACCTTCAGTCATTCTTGTCCACAAATATTTATCGAAACATGGGTGTAATAATGCTACAGGAAACATAGCTTCATAACCTGTATGATGATGATTTAGTCTACTTAAATGGTTTCTAATTATTTCGATAAGATCGAAGCTTTTCGAAGAAGAAATGTGGTGGTGGTGTATCAACATTACCAATCCAAACTGGTCCTCCTCCAACTATGTATGCTTCTCCTTCTCTAACGGAAAAATTGGGTGTACAACCATTAAATGTCGTCCTAAAGATTTGAGCAAATGCAAACATATATATATATATATATATATATATATATATATATATATATATATATATATATATATAAACATTTTTGTCACACCCGACTACAGTTTCTCAAATCTGTCAACTTTTGCTGATAAATTCACTGAATTTGCTGCTCCGGTTCTGTATAACTCTTTGTCTATAGTCTGTGGACTGCAGTTTTCTAGTATCATTGGGTCATGAAAATGTGGTTAACTTTTCCACTCGTCTTGACAACACCCTAGACTTAGTGTTTTGCCTAAAGTGTACGGCAAATTACGCAAGAAAGCTTTCGGATACCTTTCCAAGAAAGGTCAATACATATGCTATTCACTAGAAAATATACTACGTTTGAAAAGCACGCTTATAGAAACAGATTGGGATATATTTGCTGATGAATTTTTAGACAACACTATCACCAATATCAAAAGCCACCTCAGATTCTATCTCGATATTTGCTGCCCTGCTGAAACAATTTACATGAGATTCGACAGACTTTCCTCATCTCAAGAGGCTCCCGAGAGAATAGGAAAGGTTGTATAAGGCGAGAGATCACCCTGGCGTTAAAAGGCTTAACTGTCTAATTAAGTCTGAACTACAACGTCTGAATACTGTTTACAACCAGAAGGTCCTATCGTGTAAGAACTCTTCCAATATATGAAAGTTTTTTAAAGAGCTTACTGGTAGAAAACAGATTAAAAAAGAAGCCTGTGAAAGGTAACGAGAAGACCGAGACGAAAGAAGGAATGTTTATTGTTTTCAAGTGGCACAATAGTCGTTAAATATGGTACACCTCGCACTAAAACCGTCATTTGCAAAATGTGCCTCGTTTCCTCTTCTGCTTCTCTCTTTATTTGCTGTTGATATGCCTGCGTTATCCCTCGTGTTGCTCTTGGCAGAATCCTTACCCATTACTGGTAATTCCCTATGATTTCTGCCATCCTCTCAACATCTGCTACTTATATCTATTCTTATCAGCAACGCCCACTACACTTGTTTGGATGTCTGCGCGTTAAACAAGTCATTTATACATTAATATAAGAGTAAAACTTGGGCTCTGTGGTCGATTGTAATTCAATTTTATTCTGTTTATTAGAAATATCACACAGTGAAACAGTAGCATTTACTGGATAACGTTACAGACACAATTTATTGTCCATATTCATATCAGGTAACTCTACACATCTTCGAGACAGATTTTATGTATTCCCAATTTTCTCTCCTTCTCTGAGATGACAAGGGTAGTAGAATTTTCCATATATCTGGGACAGGTGCAGAATCATTTCGTTTGCTGCATATATTTGGTGTTGATTCGATAAACAAAGATTCAGTCGGTTATCAATCTCTCCCTCCACCCAACTAAGTTAGTTTTCAACACTGTCACTATCCCACCCTACTGTGTGGTTGTGTGTCATCGCATGCAGAGCTATAGCCGAGCTTTTCTCTAGATTTCTTATCTTATTAGAATCTACTAATCTTGATTTAGCTAATTTTCTGTGTTCTGTTATTCTAATCGACTGCTTTGACCTATATACTTGACCTGGCAATCATTACAAGGGATCTGGTAAACCAGATTACTTTGCTTAATTGCATCGATAGGATCTTTTAACCTACAAAGTTTGTTTCTAAGTGAGTTTGTTGATTTGAATGCCACTGTAATCCTAGCCTTATTGAGAATTCTTCGTAATGCTTCTGAGGTGCCTTCCTTGTATGGTAACACAGCAGAGGCTTTGAATTCTGTCTTAACCCTGTCACCATTATTAGTGGAATTATAATTAATAACACCTGTATTACTACTACTACCATTGCTGATATATTTCTTTCGATTTCTTATGAATTTATTTATAAATTTCGGTGGGTAATTATTGAAACGTAGGGTATTCTTGATGCATCTAATTTCTTGTCGCAGATTTTCCGATCTACCAGTAAGCTTTTTCGCTCTATCACTTAAGCATTTAACTAGGCCTACTTTAACTGAAATGGGATGGGATGATTCGAAGTCTACGTAGCGATTCGAAAAGGTAGGTTTCCTTCTTGTGTTCGTTTATTCTTCTTCTTCTTCTTCTAAATTAAAAATCCCCATTTGTCTCAAAAATAAATTAGTATTTATGTCTGTTCACCACTATACAAGGCTTTCTTATTTTCCCCAATCGATGTAACCTATTATGCAACGAAATGTA